GATATTGTTATTTGGGATATAAATGCAAACACAATCCCTCAAACTACTCTATATTGGCATTTATCCAGATTTGTGGTTAATTCTATGGTTCAAACACTTTTAGTGCAATATGACATTGATTATCATCATCAGGATAGTTAAAAATTACTGCTTTCAGGTTCAGTGCAACTGGGTCCAAACACAAACAACAGTTCATGATTTCTACTTTTGTCCATCCACTTCAGCTGTAATTGGCTAGCCTTAGTCATGCTGAGTGAGTAACCAATCACAGTGAAACCTCAAAAGAAGCAGGTTAACTACCTCTTCTAAAAAATATATTCACCACTACACTGACAGGTTTCCCCAGTGGCACTGAAGGATTGAACAAATTTTCTTACAAGGACAATAAAGTGTACCTTAACTTAGCCTTAGATTTGTTTTCAGTGTCATCTCTTGACAAAGCACCTGTGGAAGTAAAAGCTTTTGATTTCTAGTCCATTTCACTCACCAAACTGGCATTCTTGGAGCCCACACTGGCTCTCTGCACCAAGAGCTTCTTGTCTCCTAGCTGCATGCCATTCAGCCCAGCAATGGCCTGTGGACGATTTGTACAATTCAAAGAAACACCTTTAGACACTTTGTATTCGGGAGGTACTGGAGTCATGGATGAATGGCTTTGATTTGATGGTTTGAATCCACATTTAACGGGGTTACCTGGTCATTAAGGTTGACGTCAACATATTCACAAAACGCATATCCCTTGGAAAGGCCAGTGGCACTGTCCTTCACAAGATTGAAGGCCTTTAGAGGGCCAAATGAAGTCAATAACTCCTTCACCTAGACAGAATGGGAAGAAACGAACATCTAAAAACAACACTTTTAGGGCACTTCGGGCTCGACACAAACGCCAAAAAGACGCATGAAGTTTTATTTCGGTGTATTCAATTTTATCACTGTATCCAAAGCTCAGATCATAGTTTCTTTGCTGCAGGTCCTATGATCTTCTCTACGGGAACCTACTCCTGGTTTATTGTCAGCTTTTTTGAGAATTCATTTTAACATTGCATTGACAATGTTAAACCTTTTTATATTTATTTAGTAATAGGTTTCAATGGGTTTAACATTAATCGTTTCCACCAAAGCATCCAACACTCTAGGTTGGTGTGTTTATCTGTCTGGGATAACAACAGCATTCCACCAACAAGTGAGCGCTGTGGGAAGAACATTTTCTACTTTTGAATGTGTTTTTTAGGTGATGTCTCTTATCTAATAATTGCAGATACCAAAGATGTGAGTCATACAAAAACCTGCCTCCCTAGGGCAGCTCAGTCCGCAAGATACTAGAGGCACATTTTGGCTCTGGTACCCAGGACAGTTCGCCTTGGCGCACTTATTTGTAATAGCAGAATCCATTTCCATGCTTCAGGGAAGGCTGCAGGTACAGGGGTCTGCTACATCAGCAGCTGACAACACCAAATCTTTTTATTTAGAAAATTGTACCCGATTTATATATACACTATTTTTAATCATAAGGCCGTCATCTCAGCCATTCATAAAAGGACGTTCGGTGAATTCAGGTTTGGAGCGTTATGAGACATGGGTAAAGCTAAAGTAAACCGGAAAGTACCTTGGTTTATTCAGCTTTTTCACTGTAAATGTGGCTTTTTGATGTTTTGTGTTTGCTAGAGTTTGCATTCTCTTGCACAATGTGCAGTGCAATGCTATGCGTAGCTCCTTCTTATCTTAAGTGGACCTGAAGCTGAAAAGGGCTAAACACCTTTGGAAGGTAGTACCTCACATGGGCCATATCAGACCTCTCAAACAGGCCGGTATGGTGCACTTCAAACCTCACGAACCCCTGCAAACCTAGGAAAACGCGGGTAACCCCAAACGAGACCACCCTGTACGACGCTAATGGAAACGATTTTAGGCTTTCGTTTGTTTTCCCGCGCTTTGGGTAAGTATGGATAAAGTACAGTACCACGTGCAGGTACCGACCTGGTCATCATTCAGATAATTGGGCAAACCACCAATGAAGAGCTTGTGGGCTGAGTCCGGAACCACTGTTGACACAACACCTGCCAGACCAATAATTGTGAATTTCTTTGTCATTATTAGGGTAAAACTTAAAAAACCAAAAATGAATCATTATATGATTAGTACCTGGTACATAAACACTGGGGTTTTCACTAACACCAGGCAGCGGCTGGTAGTCATGAGGACGCCGAATCTTCAGACTCTGACCTTGAAAGATGATGCCATCAAACGCCATCGCCTGCGTGGTTTCATCCACTGAACGGAACTGCAAAAATACAAAAAATAGGAAAAAATTTTGAGGAAACCATTATATAGATAAAGCAAAGATAACTTTAATTTTTTAAGTTAACTTAAGTAGAACAAAGGACAGTCTAAACATAATTAAGTGGAATCTTTGTGTTCCACAATATCAAACTCACCTCAAGAAAGGCAAAATTCTTGTCTTGGTTGATCTGTACAGCAAGGACTGGGTTTCCAGGGGCCTGGGTGAGACCACCAAGACGCATCTGGGCATTGAAGAAGTCCATCATAGACTCCTGCAAAAAGTTAAATGTTATATGCAATGAAAATAATTACGGTTGATTTTACAGATAAACTCTCATGTTTACCTCAGTGATGCCAAAAGGGATGTTGCCCACATAAAGACGCCGGGCCTGTCTTGTCATCTGGCTGCCCACGACTGGCACAGGGGTGGGGGCCACAGTCAGCCCGTCCGGAGTCATGGTCGGTAAAAGCGCAGTGGCAGGAATCTGTCCCGCAGCTGAAATAGAACAGAATTGAATGTATATTTATAATTCTAGTACACAGGAGGAATTATATGTAATACATGTATGCAGTATAATGCTGACACAGAAACACAGACTTACCCTGCATGGCTTTGTACTGCATGGGTGTAATGTGTTCAAAACCAGGAGGTGGGACATCCCAGTACTTCTTGATCTTCTTTTTCTTTTCACGATGAGGTGAGCGACTATTAGTGGGGAAAAAAATGAATAAAAAGGAAATACAAATTTATACATAATTCTACTTTAAAACTGAATGTATAAACATGATATTGTCCTTCCTAAATATGACATACCTTTTATATTTTAAATCATCTGTTTAGGTAAAATTCATACATTATGAACATTGCACAATTGTGTTTTCTGGTTGAGATTTCATTGTGCTGTAATCCGATAAAATTACTTTGTATGACGTTACAAACCCAAGTTAATTTGCTGTTATTACCTTCCAGCATTGTCCTGAGGAAAGCTGGATGGTGAGCTGAAATGACATTGGAAGGATTTCACGTTTATCTCAACAAGTAGGGGGTACTGTGCTAAAAATAATAATTTACACTCAATAATTTGTCAAGAGCTGGTCATAGCAAAGCTCTGAATGTTTGGAGCAGTATGAGACGTGCTTATTATGAAATAGTTTTGAGAAACAAACCTGCGTCTGTGTCTGCGCTCTTTGCTGTCCCCTCTGCGGTCCCGGCTGCGTCTGTCCCGGTCTCTGCTTCTCCGTTTCCGGTCTCTGCTGCGGCTGCGGGAGGAGGAACGCCGGTGGTGCCTGTTCTCTTTGTCCCGTTCAGCTGCAAAAGAAAAAGAAAAAAGAAAAAACATGTTTGAGGTATAACTATCACGGCTCATTATTGCAGTCACGTGCTGTGCAGATAGAACAGATTATCACAAACTAGTTTAGCACCGTAACAATGTAAAGGTGATGCCAGAAATCAAAACAATAATGCTCAGAAACAAGAGACACAATTTATACGGCACAATAGCTGGTAAAGATATAATGTGTGGCCCATTCATGGAACGAGCACCTCTCCGCGCGCCGCCACATAAACACAACAGAAGTAGCAGACATAACACAACACAGCCGCTACCACTGCATATGTTTCAGCGTCATAACACTGTTATAAAAACGATTGTGCACATCGCTTACCTTGTTTGTTTTCGGAGAGCTGTCTTTCAAATTCGTCAAACTCCGACATCTCGGCGGCTGCTCCGCTGGCGCTAACTAGCCTAAGCTAGCAACAAAGTGTGCACTTAAAACAGGTCCTTTCGATTTTGAAGTGGCCAAAAAGCTTCGAATATTTGACGCCTTACTTACAGTTTTAAGAAAAGCCCAAACCAGCACAGACTAGTGGGGTGGTACTTTGTTCCAGTAAAAGCGTGTTGGTGTGCAGATAAAGAAACGTGTTCGCCCCGTTAGCTGCTAACTAGCCTGTAGCAAAGTCCAGAGCAGGCCCGAGTCAAAGAGCCGCGAGCAGAGCCGCACAATGAATGAGCGCTTCTGTGCTCACATATGGATCCCCAAATCGCTGGCCGACCAACGATGCATTGAATATTGGAACCAAGAACATGCATCAATTGATGTTTAAAGGATAGAAAATAACAATAAAGAAATCGGTATGCCCGCTTTTTGCTTCGTCTCCCAGATACTCCGTGACACCGGAAGTTGAAGTCGTCTTCCGGCACAGAAAAATCTCTAAAATCATAATGGGTCTTACAAAAATCTAAATACTTTATTTAATATACATCATACAGACAAATTCAAACGCAGCATAGACCACAAAATTAAACATATTTATGTAATTTCGTTTGCGTCCACATTTGATATAAATCTGGCGCCATCTAGTGAGAATAGATCTTATTTATTTTTGTATGTATACGATATTAAGATTTATCTTCAGTTCTGTTTTTACATTTAAAGATGCACTTTGTAACTTTCTGATGGAGGTTCCATCATCTGCTTGTCTCTACAGAGAACCTCAGAAAACATAACTTTTTTGTGTGTGATTACCACTCCACAGATCTGACCTGTAAATTGTCCTAGTGGCACCATGTGCTTCTTTGTCACATTGTGGAACTGTGCAGCAAGGGTATATAATGCACCTTTAACAATGACCAACCAAAAGTGTTTAAAGTAACAGTACTTTCTAAATTGTATTTAACTCCTCTTGTAATTTACTAAATACATAAAAAATGCAATGCCCATACATTTCACAGCGTATTTTAATAATATTTCAGTCTGGAATATTGTAAAAAATAGTTTGATGAGTAAATTTCTTAATCATTTATACACAAATTGTGATGAAAGATACAATTTGTTGGAATAAGGACCAGCAACAACTTTCCACATTACAAGTAACAAACAGTACATGATTTAATGTGCAAGTAAAAATAATATACATTTTCTTCTTAATTATTTGGACAATAAGGTACAGACCACAATATACATATTTTTGCATGCTTTTTGTAATGAACATAACAATAACAACGCCACCATCAGTTCAGTTTTACTACTAAAACTACTTAAAATGTGTTTATACAAATTTAGTAGATGAAATGGTACACTTCAAGTATTACAAAGAACCTACAAATATTGCAAAGAGCTAAATCACTACGTAAGTGACAAAAATAAAACAATGATACAGCAATACAAAATATAAAAAGTTAAAATATACAGGAAGAGTAACAAAACCCTCTAATAGCACTAACCTCAGTTTCTAAACCTGTACGAGATTGGCAGGAGCAGGTTATTCTTCTTCAGGGCCTGTACTCTGCACAATGTCTCCTCGTCCAGAGCAGCATAGCAGCGCCGCGCATAGTCCAATAGCTTCTCTTTGGACGAGTCAAATTCACCCACCTCAGCCAGTTTTTCAGGGGCTACTAGTAGTAGTTCTGCTATTGGGGTAGTGGAAGCCACTGTGTTGCGGTCTACACCATGGATCTCAAAGGCCTTGGTCATATTCTTAAGCCTCTGGTAAGTAAGAAGAATCTTTTTGTAACGAAACAAGACTCCAGCAGCATCTTTCACTATAGAGAACAGAGAAACAGGGTTAAAATAGTGAAGCAGAGTTTGTGATTTGTGCTTTGCTCTTTATTCTAACCTCTCTGTCTTTCTCGTCCACTCCTCATCACTCGTCTTTTCTTCAGCTGCGGTTGGTTAAAGTTGATGTCGTCTGGGATCATGTCTTCCCCTGATATCAGCTCCTCGTCCTCCACAAATGCCTCCTGATCCAGATATTTAGAAGACTCTCCCAAAAGAGAAATGGAATCTGTTGAGACACAAAAAGATATTCTCAGTGACACATATTAAAGGCGTTTATTTGTACAAACTTCATCCACAGAAAGCTTCACCTGTAACATTATTGTGTGCACTGATGGGGGGCCTTGTATTGTTGATGTTTGCACTGCTGCCTCCAGGCGTGACAGCAGAAGTGCTTTGTCCTTGCAGTAGTGCTTGAGATTGTGAGTTGAACAGGGCGTTCATGGAGGCGAGTTGATTAGTTATTTGATTTGCAACATGATTCTTGGACCCCATTAGTGAAGCAGGACCAGGCCTCCGAGGAATAAACTGACGTGTTTGAAAATGCTGTGAGTCTGTCTTCTGTTGCTCTGTAAAGAACAAAATATAAAAAAGATGATCACAACTTAAAGTTTAAATTACACCGAATTGATTAGTTAAATAATAAAAATATAATTCTTACCCATAGGACGCTCATCATTTTTTCTTCCTCTCCAGGTATAGCGCCCGGAGTCATAGCCTACAGAGAAAAAGCATTATTAGAAAGTAATAATTTCACATTTTTACTTTTTTGCACACACCCTTTATGCCTTACCATTACTGTACTGTCTCTGGCTCTGATCTGGCTCTGTATTCTTTGTGGACGAGATGAATCGATCCAACTGGCATCGTAGGAAGTCTCTCTCCTCTTCCAAATCTTCAATACGTTTTTGCAGCCAAGAGTTTTTCTCCAGAGAGATCTGAAGCTGAGTCCGCAAGTTCGTTATTAATATGTAAGAGTTGCTGACTTGAGATGGACCAACTGAGGAAGGAGATTCTGGAAAAACAAAACACAGAAAACAATTAAAATATACTTTAAATGACTTAATTATTAATTTTTTATTCTCAATTTTAATTAGTGCTGCTTGCCTTCAAAACTCTGTTCACTGTCATTGAAAAATCCAGGTTGCTCAAAGTTACCTTCTTCGTAAGGTATGGAAAATGAGGCTTCAATTTTAGGAACTATAAACACAAAAACACAATAAAAAGATGAGTGCAAGTATTACAGAAAACGTAACTTAAAACAGACATAAAGTTGTCATTAGTATTAACCTTGCATGTTGAGTGAGTTTGGATGCTCCTTGGACGTAGATGTAGAATTATCTGTCCTGGTTCCGTTTTCCATCTCAAAGAAACAGAAAAACTCTTACAAAAGCTTGTTACTGTGTTATATTTTACTGTGGAGCCGGAGTAAGACTTCTCCTACAGTTCAGTACATCCCCAAAAAACACGGTACTAACAAAATGAGCAGTAACTCGTTAAAACACAATCGATGCATTTTGCGAAAATCATCATGACCATAAAAAAATCATAAGGTGTTAAAATAAACAAATATAACAAATTACATATTCTTTATAAAATGCATGCTTTAAGAGATCTGAAACACGTCTTATAATATCAAAAGATAACGTTGCAGGTTATTGCGTTTTGTGGCACACGTTTTGATCTCTAAAAATAACAAGTCATTTCAAAGCAGGAGAAAGCGTGTTAGCTGCGTGTGCTAGTAGCATGTGTTAGCCCGAACTGGAGCTAGCGACATTTGTTGAGAGAAAATCTAATTACGATCCCTTTCTGTAAAATGTCTCAGCTTTAACCGACTGCTTTTGTCCATAAAGCAGTTTCTCACATGATCTATAAGGTGTATACAAATCGGTACTTACCACTTTGTGTTTGTAATAACTTATCCACAGACATGTAATAAGGCGTTATTACTCTGTCATAGCTCACTTTCTCGGCTTTATCCTCTGGCCTACAAGCTAACAATAACAATTAGCGTTTTTCTACCAGCAGACACACGTCATTTCCGTGTTTATGCCAAATAAACCCCTAAACATGCACCTATAGTATTCATCTTTACATCAGAACATTTCACTGATACACGTATTGTTATAAGACAGGGCACATTAGGTTTAGTTGTACTGAAATAATCTCTCTACAACACTTATTTTTTTTAATAATAATGATCCATGCAGCTGTAGCGTTAATCGTGTCTCAAACTGTAGTACCTCTAAAATAAACAAACTTTATTGATCCACAAGGGAAATTATTTGGACACAGTTGCTCATTTATTACACTATAATATAATAACAAAGAGTAAAAAATATAAATGGTAATAATAATTGCTAAATAAGACAGGTGTCACATAAGGCATAATTCTTTTTTTTTTTTTTTTTTTTTTTTTTTTTTGTACCTATGTATGTAGATGGATACGTATGTGTATATATGTGTGTGTGTGTCTAGGTATGACGTTCAGGTATAATATGTATTGTTTGGTTGGGGGGTGGGAAGGACAAAGACAACATATTATTCTGCTTTAATAAAAAAAAAAAAGGCATAATTATATAAATTTATATGTGTAAGTCAAAATAAAATAGAAAAATAAGTAATCAAATATAAAATAATAATAATAATGATAATGCATCAGTTTTATATAGCACTTTTATGGACATTCAAAGACGCTTTACATAGCATTATCCATTCCACAGTTGCCCTGGGGCAGACTGACGGAAGCGAGGCTGCCAATCTGCGCCATCGCCCCCTCCGACCACCACCATCACTCACGCACACACCACTTTCATACTAGGCATTGAGGGTGAAGTGCCTTGCCTAAGGACACAACAACAGTCACAACTAAATCTCAGCTGTATACAAGAGGTCAAAGTGCAAGCGCAACAATGATATGATGATTGATGGTAGGACATTTAGAATAATTTTATAATTAGGCAGAAATTCATATGATGAGAACTCAAATATTGACACACTTTTGATGGTTCAGCAATGTCAATAAATATAAACACTAACAATATAATCCGTATTGTAGGGACTGAACTGAACATTAGTAGGTTACTAGAAGGTATGGGGCTGGATAATCGGATTTGAGCAACTGCAGATTGAAATTATTGTAAAGTTATTCTATATTTGTCCAGTTATTCTTCAGCACTGATGCATGTTCGGATGGGTGCACATTTATTTATTTATTTATATTTTTGTATTCATTATTATTATTATTTGTGTGTGTGTCCCATATTTATCATAACATGGTGTCTTAAACCTTCACAAAATAAATAAATAAATAGATAAATAACTAAATAATAAAAAGTCTCTTAGTAGTCTAAAAGTATGTTCTTTGGAGCAGAGTTTTGGCAAGAGACTAAACTATTGCCCAACTAATCATTTAATTTCCTGAGGACTGTGCGTGTTTCTTTAACTCTGCAGGGGCCAAGTCTAGAGTAATTGTGCAGCAACCGCCTGAGAACAATGCAGCACAGGTAAACACAGGACAGGTACACACAGGACAGGTAAAGCAGGTTCAGGTGGGACGGTATCAGGTTTCAATATCGTTATGTTTAACTGATTCAAACGCTGCACCCGCATAACAAATATTCAAGACTAATATACAAGGCTGAGAAAGACCCAACTCGCTTTGGTAAGGTGTTAATTTACTATATTTGCTTTTGTAGAGTTTATTAAAATTGCTGCTTGTTGACTTCCTGAGAACAGGTGTGGCACTTGAAACAGGACTATTCAAAGCAGTGTTCCCTACTAACCGAGTATAAACATATTTTTTGTTCTTTTTGTTATTCCTGTAGTGATGGCACCAAAAAATGATGGTTTATCCCATTGTAAGCTGGCCCTGGTATTTGCTGTGCTCACGGATTTGATTGGAGCCGTCGCTCTTCTCACCGGGGTGTTTGCTCCGCTGGAGATACAAGGACAGGACTTTGGGGATTTGATGGTGTACACGGGAGCTCTGCTGGTGCTCATGTCTCTGGCCGGGTGGGTGATCTGGTACAGCGGGAACATAGAAGGTCTCACCACGCAAAAGGAGCTGGGTGGTCCAGTAGGGGGCGCTGTGGACCGCCTCGCGCGCTCCCTAAGCCGCAGAATACGACTCCCCAGGACCCGCAGCAGCCCCACATGAGAAGAACTACAACTCCTCATCCTCATTATGAAAGAATATTAGAGTACCTCAACCTGTGGACTATTTTCCAACTAACCTAAATAATGTTCTTATTTCAGTGTCTGACTTAAATGTATAGGAACCAGAGGTAGGGACTGTCTTGAGTCAGACTTGTAAGACTTGAGTCACTATTTTTAGGACTTGAGACTTGACTTGATAAAATGGACTAAGACTTGGGACTCGACTTGGACTTGAAGGTCAGTGACTTGGGACTTGACTCGGACTTGAGGCCTGTGACATGAGAAGACTTGATAAACACTCAAATCTGAATTCTTTGTATTCTGACTGTAATGATTCACTTGATCTTGTCAAGACATTTAAGAAGGGAAAAAAATACATTTCTACAACTCTTATATACTCTATAAATGCTCATATATACATTTTATCTTAAAGTCAATAAATTGCACAAATCTAAGCTATATTTGTTACTTTGGTTTAATGACTTGAAGCTCAGAGCAGATGAGTTGGACTTGACTTGGACTTGAGGTCAAAGACTTGAGACTTACTTGAGACTTGTAAAACGATGACCTCTGATAGGGACTTTCAGGATGGGTCACATCGCCTGCCTGATTCTATGGAAATATAAAGTTAAAACCATACATTTTTTTAAAGATTCTCCTCTGATATGCCTGTTTATATAGTTATGTCATACACTGTGGAAGATTATAATTGAAGGGTCATGGTCCTCATCCAGGCCATATAAGAATCAGTTTTGTGGAAGTTCAAGTTTGAGTTAGGATACTTTGTTTTTCTAAGGTTTTCAGTGCAAAAACACAACATGCCTTTTTTAGTCTAATATTCTGGTTTAAAGTGTCTTGTTGCTATTTTAGATCTGGTAGTACCCAAGAAATGTGTCAAAAAAAACAGAAAATGCACACCAAAATTCTTGTAGAGGTGCAAATGCACGGAGTAGCAAGAAAAAAGGCATAGCACTCTCAGATGGCCGATTTTTTATTATTATTTTTTTATTTCAAGAAATTTATTGCAAGAAAAATATATGATGAAGGTGTTTTTTTGCCGAAATGTTATTTTAGAAATAAAAAAGCTTTTGAACATCGGCCATCTGAGTGTGATATGCATTTTTTCACATTTGACCCAAGAAATGTGTGACGTAATTGAATATACAGAAGCACTAGTACAAAGACACAAGTATTAAGTACAATAACTGTAAGTTTGGAAATCCATTGTTAGTATTTAAGCTGTTCTGGGCATTATCCGTAGCTGCAGTTCTCATGCAAAATATTGTAATATACAGAATTTATATTGGCCACATACATTACAACATCCTTAGTCCTGAGTGAGATGACTGTGCCCTTCCCCACCTCCTTTTGTGCTCCTTCACAAAAATAACCTCTGACATATGTAGAGATATACATTTTTATTAGCCTGTATCTGTTTTTCATTGTTGCATTTGATATATTGTAGTCACTTACAAAAATAAAAGGCTAAAGATATTCACTGACAACATTGTTTTTTTTAAAGTTGGGCTTAGAGCCAATATTAATTTAAGACCTTCTTTGCAAGAAGAATAGGACCAGTACAGAGATACATTATAAAGAATTCCTCTTTTTTTTTTACTAGAAACCAAAATCAGACATACATTAAATCAATAGCAGTTGACAACATAAATCACATACTGAGAATACTGCATGCTGGAAAAGAGCTAATAAACAAAAGTTGCACCTGCAGAAAAAAATACCTGAATAATATTTCTGATTGTCTAAATGATCCATGCCCATTCGTTTCACATTCACTGCAACATATACTCTAAAAATCATACTTGGTTTCACAAAATTCCATGATTGAAACCCTAAATAATACACTGGGTTAAAAGGACAAAATAAAATCAATTTAAATAGTGAATACTGACCAGCTCCTTGTTAATTATTCCAAAAAACACCAGATTTTCCAAAGCAAGTGCATCTTATGAGGTAAACAAATAAAATAATATTATTTTTATAAACTGTCTCATGACATGTTTTTATTGTTTAATGACGTCGTCTGGCTCAATGAAGCACCAACTCAGAAGTTCTTGCAGGTTTTGATTTTGTACGTCAGAGGTTAAAGGGCAGGGTTAGGCACTGAGGCAGAGGAAATTTGCCAGATGAACATGTGACTGCGTTCAGCCCGCAGGGGTGAGCTTTGGATCACTTCATCTGATTCCTCATTTGCATCGTCACCTAAATAAAAACAAAAAAAATCAGTAAGCTGAGACAAACAATATGACCTTACAGCTATTGTGTCTTGTATTTAGTTCGTGACTGACCGATTCTGAAGTTGATGTATCCTTCGCCTCCGCTGATAATCAGCTGAGATGGAGTAACAGTGCTGTTGTCAGGAGAGATCATCAAACAAGCTGTGGATATCAAATGAGAGCATATAAGACAAAAAGCAGGAGAGGTAGGAGTAGGGATATCGTATTGTCACAAGTCTCATAATATCGTGGGCTGTCACAATATATCGACTCACAAGTTTCTTTGCTTAAATTCATGGTTTTATAGTAGCAACAGCTTATAAACATAGGAAACTACATATCCCATTATGATGGATTATGATGGAAATAATTCACACCAAAATCTTGTCAGGGTATTTTAAAAGCAAAAAAGTGTCCTGTCTTTAATTATTAGCCTCATCAAAATATTGGAATAAATATGGTACCGTGAGATGCATATTGTGATAATATCGTACTGTGAGATTTGGATATTGTTGCATCCATAGAATATGACAATAAATGTACCAAATGACCGGTCAAGGCATTTTATAATGTCAGTCTTGTAATTATGTATAATATTGTAAAATTGTGAGCCTCCCAACCGTATTGTGAGCTTTCCCATGATATCGCAATAAATATCGTACCGTGAGGTTCATACTGTGACAATATCGTATAGTGAGACTTGAATATCGTTACACCACTATGTAGGAGAATGTCAGAAGGTTTAAAAAATACTGTAGGCATGATTCAAAGCCTTCTCATGGGACTGATGACGAATGCACATTGTTGACATTTAAACACCACCAAATAATAGTGTTACTGTAATCGAAGATATGAATAATTCTATGACTAATGGAAAGAAAAGTGTCAAAGTCTCCAGCCAGTAGGCGTTGAGTTTCAGGTTCATTGAGACAGACCATAACTAATTAAGTCATTTAAGAAATTTCACACTATTTTTAATGGTCAGAAGTACTTGAAATGGCATCAGTATCTCAGTTGGTAAAGCGTTTGTCCACTGATCAGAAGGTTGACGGTTGAATCCTGCTCTCAACATAAACATCATTGGTTGAACGGTCAAATTCACTGACCCACAGACGATGCAATTCCAGCTCCCACACATAAATGAGACACTTAACCCACCTTGCCCCTGGTGTCTGCGTACACTGGTGTATGAGTGAGTGTGTGTGAATGAGTGAGTGGTTCCTTGATGTAAAGCGCTTTGAGCCTTGAAGGTAGAAAAGCGCTGTATAAAAATGTGATCATCTATATCAGGGGTGTCAAACTGAAATTCACAGAGGGCCAAAATTACAAACTGGGACTAAGTTGTGGGCCAAACTAAATATTTATTGAAAAATTTCAACAGCATCTGCATGTCATCTCTTAAGTCTTAAACAATTAATCCAAAACAAGCATAATATAAAATAATAACAAAATTTTAAATAAATAATGTCTCTATAGCCTGTCTGTAGCTCTAATCCAGATTTGATATGATCTCGCTGGCCAAATATAATTATATCGTGGGCCAAATTTGGTCCCTGGGCCTGAGTTTGACATGTCTAATCCTTAAAGCAAGATGCTGAAACCCATAAAGAGAAAACCAGTAGGATAAGGCTTTAAATTAAAACATTATGTACAATTAATTCTAAAGATAGAAACAAATAAAATAGATGCTTACATGGAGCAGGGATGATAAACCTGACGGCTTGCCTGTGTCCATGGGAACAGAGCTGAGTCGAGGCAGTGGAGCAGTACGGAATAGAAACCGCTTCTGATGCTGGAAACGTTATTATAAAAAACAAACTTTTAGTTATTTATAATCATGTAATAGTCATGTATCTAATGACAGCAAACCTACTTATAGACAGGGGTATGGAGATTATAGCGCCACCTCCTGTTCCAATCCAGAGACGACCGCAGATGATGGACAGAGATGAGATTTGAAGAGGTGACAGTGTGAGGAAGGCTTGACCTGAGCAGAAAAACATTGTTTATTTTTTACATTTTTACATTTTGTACAATAGCAAGAACCTACATATATTGATTTATATAGTTAAATAAATGAGATTAACAATATTATTAAGGCTCACGCTTTATCCTGCATTAGGTACCTCGTTTTTGTTCTTTTGTTTTGAATTTTTGGCAGTACTTGAACTTTTGGGATGGCAGGAAGGCAAGGTAGAATAATTAACATATCAATAACTCATTATAGTTACTAAGTGATACTAAGTGTTTCATTTTGCTATTTATTTATTGCATGTTTTGCTCTGTTCACAGTATGGTTTGTTAAGAAATTAGTTGAGAAATCTTGCTAGGATTATCTTTCTTTAGGGTGATTGTGTCAACGGTATAAAACTGTTCTTAATATTAACATTTATTGGATAATTATGTAGCATTTACCACTTAATATGCTAATTACACTCTGGCAAAACTTGGACTTTGCAATAAATCACTCCTAAAAATCGGTTTCTGTGACATGTCACCTAAAAGTAAAAAAGCTATGTATAGAAAACAACATTAAAGGCACCTAGAGTTTTAAGGACCAGGGCAGAAAAGTCCACTTCCTGTAATGGTCGCCCAGTGGTCCAGTCGTAGAGTCGGAGGATTGGGTCGAGTCTGCAGGCGGTCCACACTCCGCTGCCCCCCGCACACAGGAACCGCACCTGCTGCTCACTGCGCTCTGACACGGTAAAAACATGCTGGAAGTGCAAAAAAAGTACAACAATTAAGGGGAAATTGTTACCATAAAAGTCTCTACAAAAACTAGTAACTAAAAACTAGATACACATTTGAGTATTGATATTACAGAAATCACGTGAGTATGACAATGCTGGGCCTTTCCTGAATAACTTTCAAATTAACTTGCTAATATTTGGCATTTTAAATTATTATTGTGGTATTGAAAATTGGTCAAAAAGTACAAAGTCTTTTCCTTGGTACTGAAATGGAGTTTAAAATATTATTATAGCGGCCACAACACTACAAAAAAATTTATCTTTATCAATGTTTTACCTCAGTTTTCCTGTTTTCAATGTCCACCACATGAACTTTGTTCCAGTATCCCACCCATATGCGCCCAGCTTTTGCAAGACAGCATCGAATGGGCTGCAGTGGAGTGGATCCAAGAGACATTACTGCATTAGGTGAGAGGTCCCAGCCACCTTCAAAACATCACAACAACGTTAAAATATTAGGGTATAGAAAGTGGTATGAAACTGTCATGGGAAAACAGAAAGTACTACCTGGTGTGGGTGAAAAAAAAACTAAAGTGCCATCAGCTAAACCTGCAATGACTTGATTCTGTGTAAACCTACAGGAATAGATCAATATAATAAAAGTGTCAAAAGCATTCAAGTTACAAAAGCAGCAGATATATAATGAAAATGTAATTACGTGAGTGAATGTACAGCCTCTGAAAATGAGATGGACTGTAGACAGCGCCTCCTGTTGGACGAGGCTGAGTGCACCAGAACACTGTAACAGAAAAAGACAGATACTTATTTGAGGAATGTGTCAGAAGCGTTTACTAAAAGCTTTATCAGTTGATTTTACCTTCCTTCCTGAGTTCCAATCCACACAGTTCCTGGATTGTTACCTGTCGAAAAACAATGGGAACAATGGAGCGATGTAAAAACACAATTTTTTCCTCAGAATATGTTCATGAATCAAACATTTTAACAAGTCTCCAACCTTTTTTTCCATGTGAACTACTTCAAATCAATAAAAACAACAGGTGATAGCTCTGTATGCTTTGAGGATACTTGTGTTACCAGTAAATCCAGTAACAGTTAATAGCGAGGACATTTCAATATTACTTCCCTCTTAATCCTTTGCTAATAGTGACAAATCGTTTCTGTTCAACATGTTCATAATCATAAACTACACAAAGAAAAAGTCCATAATTAATACAATCATATAACTGATGCCAAGACAGTAATCAAACTGGCATTGGCACAACAAAATCACTTATTGCTCTTGTATCTGTAATAAAAAAATAAATATAACTGTTGATTGTTTGCCACTGATTGTCATCAACATTCACTGGGGGTGTGAAGTGAACTGATAGCCTGACTCTGTTGTAAGTCCTCAAGTTAGACTTAATCTGAGCTTTATTTTAACACAATCTGACCAGAAAAACACGACGTGGTTGAAAGTACAACATGTGAGCTGATTTGAGCTGCTAAACAAGTATTTCAAAAGGTAAAATTACAGCCACAAGCGAGCATTTTCAGTTAATCACTCTCTCCTTTTTGTTGAAAATCAAACACCTAAACAGGGTCATGAAAGCTCGTATTCATCACAGGCTCCTGAAAATTAGTTCTTTCAATCCTTTTTGTATTTTTCAGACTATTTCAAAAAATGGTTTAGTTTGTTTGTGTGTATTGTAACCAACCCCAGCGTGAGATCACTGCAAAGTATTAAACTATCCAAAGAAATATGCAACATTAGACCATGAGTGACAGACAATTATTAATAAAAAAAATGAACAAAATCTATAGGAAACATAACGGAAACGGTGTATACAGTAGATTTAGCAGGAGGACTATGTTAGCACTGACCTATAGGGGGCACAGCACAGATGCAGAGGGCAGGAGATGTGGGAGGGAGTGTGAACTGGTCCAGGACTGTGTTGGGCCGGGCCGGGTCTATCACTGTGATCTCACTGTTAGAGGCCGGTCCAGATATGACCCACACGGAGCACTGATGGCACAGACAGGACCAGAGACGATGTTTTTAAAGATGAAGGACACAAAATAATAAATGACTACCCCTGGCTGAGTTAGTATTTATGTTTATGTTATTAGAGGCTTAGTACAGGTGATGTTTACTGGACATAATTACAAACTTACAGAGGCTTCTCCTGAGACTTCAGGTGGGACTGCCACTGCACAGTTTAGCTACAAAAAGAACATGTAGAAAACAGATCTTATTCAGAATGGCTACAGAAACAAACATAGGCCTAAATAGCAGAATGAACCAATAATTAGCCACAGAAGTAATTTATTCTCCCCTCTACAGCTCATATCTTATTATAGTCCAGTAAAATGGCAAAAAAAAAACCTCCACACTATTGCAAAGAAAATGTACAGACATATACTGAGCCCCAAACATTATATGTTCCAGCTTTCATATATTGAATGATAAGTCAGTATAGTAATTATCATGACAGGCCTATACCAGACCCTGCCGTCTCTTACAATCCTGAAATCTTGAAAGCAGCAGTCATCTCCAATTTAAGTGTTTATCAAATGCAGACCAAATTTCCATTCAAAAATATGAACAGTACAATATCTCTTTGTCTTTCATTATAGCTGCCTAATTCATGCAGTTGCAGAAAAGAAAGGAACAAAGTGCTCCCTTATTTTTATTTATCTTGCAAATCCCATTGACTCCCCATCAACTTTAGTTACAAATATTATTTCAAATGACCTAGTCTTAGTGATTCTTTATCTTAATTTGCAGTTTGCATATCTGTCGTTTGGTGTGTATTAAAGGTCCTATATTACATACAATTGATTCTTGTGTGCTTTAAGCCATGTTCTAACGCTGTTAAATTCTTTAAAAAATACCTGGAGCTGTGTTTTGTTATATTCACATATGTCTGAATAATCCTTTTATTATTAGTCTGTCTACATCTCTAAAGCTCAAAATGCTCTGTTCTACTGTTCTTCTGATGTCATTTAGTGATAGTTTTCAAGTTAACAGCTACCTCTTACCTTTTGTTCAGAAACCTTTTCCACTGTGTAATTAATAAAGTATTCTGTCTTATCTTCTTATCTGTCCTATCTTACTAATGTGCCTGATCAGTAAAATATAATTCTAGTAACTGTGGCCAAATCAACAACCAATGTGTCTTAATTCCCTGATAGTTTCTTTGTCTTTGTCTCATAAAAATTACTTAAACATGCACTATGTAAATTTTTGGTTGGGGGTCTGTAACCTGCTTGTTTCTATGGATGTGTAGTTGCTCTGTCTGGAATGTTCCACAGTATGACATTAAGCAGCTGTACCTTATAGTTATTAAATTACAGGTGGTTTTAGAACTCAAAAACACCTAAAAAAAACCCAGGCATTCTGACTGTGAGCAGGGTCGCCTCTCCACAGATCTGATCTGTAACTTGGTATGTTTGGTCTCCACGAATATAAAAAGGTCTAATGCGATACTGTGAAACATTCCCGGCAAAGCAATAACATCTCAAAGGAAAAGTATTTGGTGGTCCATACATCAAAAAAGTTACACAATGCACCTTTAAAGTCCAGCTAATCAGGATGCAAAATATTCCAACGCACCTTTGCAGTTGAATCCCGCTGATCAAGAAGTCTGAGCTTTACTAAAACAGGGATATCTTTGGGCTCAGGGACAGGCTCCTGTGATTCCTAAAGTTTTGAACATGTAAAAATTGATGAGTAAAAGATTGATATTTGTGCCGAAGACAAATCCAGTGTGCGAGTGGAGCACCTGAGTGTTGGCCAGAGGAACACTCCAGCCGTGAATCTGACGTTTTCCCAGTTTTCCCCAAATGTGAGAACGGATTTCTCTGTAATACTCTCTCCGCCTGACTCGAGGTGATAAAGCTTGAGATGTTGACCTAGACAGAAGGACACTTGGGTCACACAGATACATTTGCAAGTGCAAAAAATACAAACTTACAACAACAATGGCTTACTCTGCCTTGACTGGACTAGCAGCCTGGCGTGGTACAGAAGGGTAGGGGGGGTTTGCTTTAGGATACGCTGAAGATGGAGGTGGAATCAGGGGTTCCTTAGAGAGGCCAAGTAGGCGATTGAATCTAAAAAAGAAAATAAAATTACTTTCATCATTATTTTTAAATCACATGAAAATGTTTTTTTTTTAATAATAATACATTATAATAATTTTTACAATAATAATAATACAAAGGTGTCTAATTCAGAAAATAAACATACTTTTTCCAAACACTTGAGCTTTTATCACCTGTTAACCTCTCCTCTCTTGAAGCTCTAAAAAAAGAAAAAGCAGGTTTTATTCACATCACCAAAATCACAATTGAAATTACAAAAGAATATTTAAGGATACACACAAAATATTGCAGACAATTTATATACCAGTGATTTTGATCTGATATGAAATAATACTGTTGCAAATACAACAATATCAATGATACTGATACCAATGACTTTCGTATTAAAATAGATTTTACCTTGGTGTCTACAGACATTATCTTTGTCATTATCATTTGCAGATAAAATATAATGTAAAAACAAAAAAACAAAAAACCCAAAAATGTTAGTAGGTTAAAAAACACTTATTTTAACCAATATTTTTTGCATGAGAATCTAGACTTTTCGATACCTCACTCACTAGTGATACATTGATATTTTGGCATCCGCCCATCACTTATTTCACCTGACAGCTTGACTTCTCATGGTGTCCTGCAGTTCAACCAGTCGCTGCTTGTACTGATTCTTCTCCATGACAACTCGAGCCATTTCAGAACGAGAGAAGTGACGCACAGATGCCGGCACAGAGGCCTGGAGAGAAAAAACAGGTTTAGTGAGTGAGGAATTATCGGTAGTCATGGGTACTATATGCAGTGTACCAGTGTCTTACATCTGAATCTGAGGACTGAAAAGCTTCCAGGTCCACTTTGAGTCTGTAAAGAGTTCATAGTTTAGAATTGGTCAGAATTCTGTGGTAGATTATGTTTTTTATGCATTAAAAAATGCACATAACTTTGATATCTCTATGATATCTCTGTAATTACTAGGCCTATACAAACAAATCAACTGGCACACAAATAATGCCACTGACAGAATGTACTCTCTGTCAGTGACATCATTATTATTATTATTATTATTATTACCAACAGCCGAAAAGGCTTTATGTCACAAGACCAATAACAAATTTGTAGATGAAAAAATAAAAAATTACCTTTTGATCTCTTCTTCTTTTTCTTTGAGTCGATTGTCTAAACGTGCCACTGTTTCTTGAAGAGAGCTGAGTTCCAGTTGAAGAGTCGAACGGTCATCAGTCAACTCCACCACTCGAGATATTAAAGATTTACGGGCTGCATCTACAAGCTCACTGCAAACATAAATGTATTATTAGACATTATAAATAGTGAAACAAATGGTAACATTGGATAATAACTGCACCTTCATTTGTATTATAAAACATGTACAAAGATTTACTTCTTAATGAACAAATAGTTTATTAATAAGGTTTCAGGCTTAGCGAGTGCTTAATAAATATCCTAACCCTAATCTCCTAACCCTAACCCCTTAAGCAAGTAGTTTATTATGAATTCTCTTTTCATGCATCATTAAGGTTGTGACAGTGTCGTATTTAGTAAGTATAGTGTAGTAATTGTAACCAAACATGTTAATAGAATGAGGCCCACAGTATTTTTTGCTTAAAGACAACTCACTGGGTGACTTTCAGTTCCTCATATTTTGAAAGAATCTCTTCAAACTGGTCTGCACCACCTGTATACAAAGGAGCAGTATTAAACCATAGAGTATGACACATTTTAAACAACTGAAGTGATGGTGATAAAGGGAAGTTCATTTTGATGCTGCAGCCTGGCACTTGCTTGTTATAAATAATTTCTCACAAACAGGAAGCTCTCAAATTATTCATACTACCACCAATTTACTGTGTGTAGTGGACTATGTAGCAAAATGAAATGGGTTCAACCTTTAAATTTGAGCAGTGTTCAGTATATTTGGGGTGGGAAAGTCGATGAATGATATATCAGACATTGAGTGAATATGAACTGCTAAATTATGTGCATTAGAGTTTCGCAACATACTTAGAAGATAGAAATCTAAACTACTACTACTAAGGTTAGCAGGCTTTAAACATAATAAGACCAAATATTTAGTTGATAGCAGAACTGTCTAAAAACAAGTAGAACAAAAATTTACAATACAAAAGATAATTGTAGTATTGTTATAAACATATAGAAGTAACTAATATTTAATCTGAACTAGTGTTTTGTGATTAGTAGGCAATAAGTGACATTTATACTAAAAATTGATTAGATAAAATGCTTCAAACATGAACTGCTTGTGCTACTATAGTTAAGTATAAACCTGTGGGAGTCACTGGGTACAATTACATGGTCAGTAAAAATCTAGACTAGAATAATCAGATAACCTAATAATCAAATCTTTGGTGTGTGTTTACACGCACTAAAGAAATTTAATAATAAAAAACGCCTGGTGACATGTGTAATTTAATCAACAATTAATTTACAAATAACTCTCTGAACTTTTTTCCCACCTTTTTTCTAATTTTCCTTGTCAAAACTCCCATCAGATATAACTGGCTGTGGTTACGACTGCACTTTTTAAATTCTAAGACTATTAAAATGGCTTGTAAAAAGCAGAATCATCCAGTGTTTTTCATGTAATTTAAGCAATCTAAAATGTCCACAAATCAAATAATCAGATGTTTAGTGTGTGTGTATACATATCCAACATAAAATGCATTTATCTTATTGCATTCTTATTGTTTTTGTTTGGTCACCTCTGACACTCGCTCCTTGGTCCACACTCTCCAGATAGTCGCGGCTCAGCTCAGACAGCTCAGAGAAGACAGAGTCAGTGTTTCGCAGCTCAAACTCCAGCTCTTCGTCCTCAGACTCCTCCTCCTCCTCCTCGTCTTCCTCCTTTGTCTCTCTGCTTGATTCCTGCTGCTCTTTGGGATCACTCTCTTCTTCATTCTCTTGCTCTTTCCTGATCTCATCTTCCATACTGGTTTCAAATGTATCGCCTGGTTGTTCTTCAAGACTGACGGGGATGCTGATCCTGATGATGATGGGGAAAGCAAAACAGAAAAATGTTATGGTAAACTTGTACCAATCTTCTACACTGCAAAATAGCCTATCTTGTAGGATGAAACTAAAATTACTTGTCACTTTTAATCATTTATCTATTTATTTATTTATTTATTTGGTGGAATAGGTTTTATTTAATTAATTTAGCAGAAAATCTAGGTATGGATTTTTGGTCTGTTTATCTATTCTTATATATATATATATATATATTTTCAATTATAATATTATTGTCAACATATATTTATTTATTTTTTTATTTCTGAGTTTCCCTTCTAACATATTACTCAGCTGGTACATAACTTTTGTTTAAAATGAATAAAATGTAAAAGTCCTCCAATAACTAAATATTTCAGTTCAAAACAACACTTAACTTGAAATATTCCTTTCTGCAGTGTAATTATCCACATTTAAATATAACTTTATTAGATTACGTTACCTGGACCGCCCGCCTCCCTGTAAATGTGCCAGCTCAGGGGTGGAGGTGATGATGTCATTGATGAACTGGTCTTGGTTTGCGTCAGGTTTCACTGTGGACTTTGCAGGGCTCTGTTCCTCTTTGGGCTTTACCTGCTCCAACATCGGAGGACCGGAGTTTGAATGGGGCCGTCGAACAAGCTGCTGAAAGACATACAGAGATCAAGTAAATATCACCTTGAAAAATCAAACAATATAAATGTAGTAGTAGTGTAGTAATTCCATTGATTATTTTTGGTTAAATCAACAATTATGTGAACCCTGTGAGGTAAATGCTGTTGTTATTTGGGCTAAACTAAAACAAACTGAATTGAAAAAACATGCTTGACTAAAATATTTAAATATACTCTTTATTTATTAAGTTATTAAATAGTTACCTTATCATTGTGATTAGACTCTGAGAGGGGATTGAAGAATGTTTTCTCAGGATTCTTTGGGTGTACATGATTCCTAAAAAGAGGGAACATTTTTAAATATAGATAATAATGTAGTACTGTGTAATTGAAAATATCAATAACATTAAAAACCTTAAAGGAGACTCTCTTTCTGATTCTTTCCTCCTGTCCAGCATTTCTCGGTATGTGCAAGTCAGCTGAAGATAGAAAGAACATTAACTTGCCAAATTCACAACATCTTTCGGCTAAAGAATGTTTTTTAATGGTGTCTGACCTTGGTGTGTGAGTGCCGTAGTGTGCTTAATTCTCTACTGAGATGTGTCTTTTGTTCTTCCAAAGCTACCACTGCGAGAAACAAATGTAACTTCATGATAACATTTGTCACGTCAATATAAATGCATCATTGTTAGAGCAGCAATCACAGATAATTACTGTAAAGCAACCTTTGGACCTTCTTCGAGGTAGTTTAGATTTTAGTCATGGTTTTATGTTTTTAGATACAGTTTTAATTTGCTAGCACCATAATGTCAAACCATGTGATTTTTTCGAGGTGAAAATGCTACTGTGGAATGTTATAAAGAAAAGAACAACATGTACATGGAGACAAAAAGGAGGAGGCGTTCTTCAAGGCCAATAAGAGCCTGGTTTGGTTTGTGGAGATGCAAGCCTGCTCAGAGTAAGGATGATTCTATGTTCTAATCTATCAGTGCAATAAAAATATGTTAAATAAAAAAAAAAAAAAAACATGCTTTTATTTCAGTCTCTTTTTTGGAGTAAAAAGTTACATGGTGCAGTTTTAAAGTTTCAGAGTCACTGGTCCTGATCCATCCAATCAAAATAACCAATTCAGGCTGTACTTTAGTTCCAGTATTAAGTTACTCACACTGATCAGCTTGCTCTCGCGCCTTGCTCTCCAACTGCTTCTCTCTCCTCTCGCGCTCCTTCTCTCTCATCCTCATGGCTCTGCGCTCTTGTTCCATTTGGTCGTCCAGCTCCAGATATCTCTAAAGAAGAAATCATGTTGTTTTATGTTTGCATATTGTTCATTTAAAGTAGCTGTACTAAATTCTCCATGTACTTCATCAAAATTAGTCATGCTACAGGACAGATATATTGTAAAAGCAGCTCTTGAGGTAAAAATGAGATGAGTGGATGCTGAGACCAATTTACTGTGATGTCAAAACTCCGCTCTGGTCTCTGAAAGTTGTGAAAAGTCCTTATAAACTCATGGTGAATAATTACGACACTTGGAATGCTTAAGGTAAGTGATGAAACACTTTAGACCACTTCAGACGTTATAAAATGAACTACTTCTGTTTTTAACCTTTAAATCACAGGAACTGAATGCCTAATCCTTACCTCTTGGCTCTCTTTGCGTAGTGTTTTCTCAGTTTGATATCTCTCGAGTAGGTCCTCCTTTTCAGCCTTTTCCCGATTGGCCTCTTCCTCTCGGTCTCTGAGCTGTGATTTGCAGTTGGCCAAACCCTCCAGGACCCAAACAAAAATGGGCACGAGGGACTCCACCACACTTTCTCCATGGAGCTCAATCACCGTCTTTACAATAAAAATAAAAAAAAATAAAACAGAAATAGCTTAAAATGTTAGACTAATCTACAGGTTGTCTCATTCTACAGTATGAGAATGACCCCTTCCTAATACAGCATACTTTACGCAATCTTTTTATTTTAATTGCCAAATGGAAAAATATTAATGTTAAAGCTGATATTAGTACAAGGCTAATTTTCAAATTATTTTGCACACAGCCTTTTAATCCATTCCTTTAAGTAGAAATTGCTGAACATCATAGAAAAATGTTATTGAATAAATCCGCCATCTTTGTTGCAAGCAGGTACCAACATAGAAACATTAGCCACAAAGATTGGACAAAGTTAAGTACAGCATTTGTTCGAATACTACTGATGAATCCATCTACTACACTGTAGTGTCAGAATACGTTTAAATGCAAAATTCCAGTAATTTGCATATTAAAATTCTAACCTGGTTTTATCTCCAAGATGCGACTCAATCATTGTTATCTCAATCCAAGTTTTCAGAGTGATAAAGAATTAGCTCTGTTGCCATAGCAATTAACAATTCAAAGCAAAATGTTGTATCGTTTGAAAGGTGAAAAGTCACTTTTAACAGAGGAAGCTGAACCCCACATATACAGAACTGCACTTTCCAGCCTACAGAATATTGTGTTGGCATAACAAATTCACAAATAGCTGCAAATGGCAACAAAGTGATGTTTTACCTGCAGTTCTGCATAGAGCTTCCCAGCCTCCTCACTGACGATGTTGGGGTCCAGTTCCACCTCTCCAGACCCACAAAGGACCCTCTCATTATACTCCATCATCTTAGCTTTGAAGAAATATTATTAGTTTGCTTGTACCAGCTTATCCTGTGCAAAGAGGTGTATTTCCAACTAATAAAGCATGTTTGTAGTTATTTTCTGTTGCCTCCGACTTGCAGCCTTGAGTCTTCTTGCATGTATTATCTCATGCAATGCTTTACAGTCCATCCTGTTAAGAGATAAGAAAGAAAATAAGAAAAAAGCACTTGTATTTTCACTTGTATTATTTATGATACAATAGTCTTTATAAAATGTGTGATATACAGAAATACAATTAAATACATAATTTTTCCACATCTGTCACACTAGTTTGCCTTTGTCCAGCAATAATCTGCTAATTGGTCATGTGGCTTTTATTATCTGAGACTATACAGTTTGTGTTAAAAGTTGAGCCAAGTAGTTAAGCTTTAGGCACAGCAATTGCAGAATTATTTACTTATTATATCAGATATTCTAATGATAAGATGATTTAATGGTAACTAGGAATAGTAAAACAACTTTATTTAATGTAAAAGTTAAAGAACCCTGTGTTATCTTAAGGTGTAGAAAGCAACAAGTGAGCAAATCTGACGCTCTTTAACCGCAGTAACTATAATATTCAACCTGTTAAACCGCAAACACTGTAAAACTGGACACAATCGCTTTGACAGCCTGCATAAATAAGTAAAGCTAGCGTTAAATGACTCCTTGAACGTCTAGATAAAAAACTAACCTTTTAAGCACTGACTTAAATGTCCGTGTGATCCGTTAAACGCCATTAAACTCACCTAAATGATTTCCACTTTTGTTGAGTTGCTGTACCGATGAGATTTCTTTATTTTCGCTTTAAAAAAGAACATTTCATTTCCACATAAACGACTTGCTGGAAGAGGGCTGGCTCCACTCGGCTCTGGTTTTGATGGACACAGAAAAGGACCAATCAAAGGCCTTGGGTGACGCTTCCAGCCAATCGGAGCTAAGTGTGGGCGGGACATTAGCAGTTTGTTTTCGGAAGTAGAAAAAAAACTTTGCTGAAACTTGAACAGGGACACGTGACCGGGAGACAGTCAGGTGATCTGTCAGATACCTGTTGAAATGCCTGACATACCTGCGGATAACACTTGACCATAGAGTGTACTTGATCCAGCTGATTTGTACATTTTTCAGTATAACTCCTATAAGTGCTGACTTTGTTCTACTGACTGTATGTTTTGTTGCAAATAAGTTGAGCTGAGTGACAATCATGCAATGCAACAGGTGCTTGTATTTGTATTTGCATTTATTTATTAAAGGGACAATGCATATTAAAAGACAAGATAATACAAGAGACAAACATGTACTTGTTATTAGGCAGGATTGTAGCCGAAGTTAATTTCCATCCTGGTCTAAGGTGGTTTTCAAAATAAAAAACTGGGACATCCCTGCTTTGCGGTGGCTGGTAATAATAAAATTGCGTAATTAAGGAAAACTGTTCTTCACTCGGCCCATTCATGACTAACATGTGTCAGTATAGTCACATTTTCTTGTGTTTCTGTGTTTTGGACAATTTGTGCCTTTCTTTACTGTTATAAATTGGTCAAAATAGGGACACCTGGGACATTTCTTGTATAAAACTGAGACAAATCAATGATTTTGGATAAATCTGCTGGGACAGTGGACAGAGGGCTCAAAAGTGGGACTGTCCCGGGTAAATAGGGATGTCCGGTCACCCTAATCCTTAGTCCCCTGCTGGACCAAGACCAGCCACATCACCCGCATAATTCATAAAACATAACAAAAGTCTACAGTACCCACTCCCACAGACATCCCTCACTTATACACTATAAAACACATTCATCTACAGGTCAGACATATACTCTCACTACTTACACAACATCTATTTACAGGTCTATATACAAATATGATTGCAGTCCCCGGCTCATGTGCAAAAGGTGCTGTTTAAGTTCAGCTGTGTGGACAGATCTGATTGCTGTGATAGCTGAGATTTAAGTTGATCAGAGAGGAGAGAGTGTAGGCAGCTCACGTAAAGTCACTGAGATGTGGTGGTGTTCCAGGTTTGAGAGGCATGGACAAAGAATACAGCCAGTCTAAAGGCACTTTACCTTGATGGTATTATACAATCACCTCTGGAGCTTGCTCCTGTTGATATGTTTGGATTTTTTTTTAAACAAATTTTTGTAGTGGAACAGGGTCAGTTTGAGTGGGTTTATAAAATGTAAAATGTGTCGGTGGATATTTTATGCATGACATTGTGGGGATGATGATGTCCCTAATATCCTGCCCGTGTGTGCATTCGGCACATATCATATCTTTAATTTGACAGTGTTTACTATTCAATTTCTCACCAGCAGAGGGAGACATACCATGAGCCATGTAGTAGTATTCCACCTCTTGGCCTTCCAACAATTTATGCTCGTTACCCTCATAAAAAAGTACAAACGTGATGATGAATGTGCAGACACTGATCTCTCAATGGCAAAAAGAATCAGTCAACCTCTGGTATATATGCATTTCTTGGTGTATTAAGAGTAAAAGTATTTTTTGGACAGCAATCCATCATCAAGTGAGTGATAAAAGTTATTGCTAATTAACTAAATGACTAGCTAGCGACAATATATTAACAAAATCTCTGTGCACTAGCAAAACAAGGCATTTATTAGGATTAATCACTGAGTTAGGGGAAGATTGAAAGTGAATTTAATCAGGAAAAATGTCAAGACGCAAGGTTTTGTGCTAAAATGCAAGACATTTTATTAGAGTCTTACAATAGTTTCGTTTTTAATCAGTCACGATCTAGTTAGAGGGTGAAATACTTTGATTAATGCCAAGAAACATGTTTGTTTACTTGACTCAATCTTGCATTTATTGATTACTGGTGGGTTGATGGTTAAAAAAGTGTTGACACTCCATAGATCTGGCTTGTAACTTGGCCTGATGGCATCTGTTTGTGTGCTCTGAGATAGATACTTCTAATGCAATACTGCAAAGCAATAACATCTCCATGGAGACTAGTAGGTAGCTTGAAAAGTTACATTGTACCTTTAAATATTGCTCACGTTCAAAATTATATAAATTATAGAAAACAAAACATTTCTAAACCGTAACCTTCTTTGTAACAATCCCACTCTCGTCCACCAGCACTTCTTTCCCTTCTCTTTGTTGACATTCCATTCGTTCTCTGTGTTTTTTCAGGAGATAAAACACCACCACACTTCCCACTGTGACGGAGCTGAGAGCCAGGATCACCAGTCCCAGTGCGAGCAGGTGAGACATCCCATCCATGTTGTGGCTTGTCTGATCCCAAACCCCCACAGCGATGCAACTGAAGCTGATGAGGGTCCCCCAAAATCCAAACGCCAACATGCAAGAGCCGCAGGACAGCTCCACCCCTCCAGTCACCACGGTGATGCCTGCCACCGAGACCACACCCTCAGGTAGAGTCACAGTTTCTGCTTTGGGGTTGTAGGTGACAGTCGAGGAGGGAGGATCAGCCTCCAAATAGGCAGGGTTTAGGATCTCCATTAAAACTTATGAGTTGTTATGGATTTTGGTGTTAAGATGTTAAAAGGCTACAGCACCCTCTAGAAAATAAAAAAATATATATATTTAAACATTTAATGAGAACTATACTCTTGTAGAAAAAAAATATATAAATACAGATATCATGCAAACATATAGCACTAGTGAATTGAATATTTTATTGTCTTTGAATCTAAAAGTGTTGTAATATTACTAAAACATGCACAACAGTTGTTTTCATAATCACTTTATTAAAGCCACAGTATGTAACATTTGGGCAAAAAATCTTTTTTTTTTTTCATTATCAATGTTTTTGCACTGAAAAACAGACAAATCAGTTCTTACACAGAGCGGCTCTTGTTTCCATGGGAATGTTGTTCCTTTGGCTATAATATTCCACAGTATGGCATAAAGCTTATCTATCTCCATGGAGAATATTCCGAAATATGGTCTTAACTTTATATTTCCATGTTGGTTTTTCACCTCTGGAAAGTTACATACTATCACTTTAAGGATTATGGTACTATCATGAACACAATAAATATTAACTTTTTACGTTTTATTTTACTAAAAGCAATATTGTGCCATAATATGACTCATGCTATGGATCTGCGTGTTGTTGTAAAATTGATTCCCAGATGTGTGAATTTCTAGAATGTTTTTACCAACTCTTCAGTCTTCACACACACACATTTTACACACAATTTATGATGCTTATTGTTCTCTCAATAGAACATACGACATGCCCAATAAATACTAAAATAAACCAAAAGCTGACATGTGGTGAAAACACAATCCAATACTCTGTCCAAACTCGCAAAACACAGACTTTGTTTTCTGAAGTTGACAATTTGTTTGAACCAGGCTGCTTATTTCTTTATTAAGTTTTCTTTTTAAAATCACAAACTTTATCTGGGAAGTCACATACTTAACATTTTTGTTTATACACACGCTTTATAGATAAGATCCTTAACTTGGTCAGACTGAAGTATCACAAAATGCTCAAATTGTGTTTAGTTACACCACAAATACTAATTAATCAATACACTAACTGTGAAGAAAAAAAAACCCCCAAAAAACCCCCATAAATAACACATGTAACAGAATTGAAAATAATCACTTACCAATACTGTGGAGTGAGGGGCTCTGTTTGTAAAATTGTTTGAGTCCTACAGTACTAAATATTTGCTGTCCCAGTCCTCTGCTTCTCTGTGTTTGAGTGAAGACTGTGCAGTTTTGGGACAATGGGCGTAGATATGGGAGCCCATGCACTGCTGCCATCAGATACGACATGGTTTAGGCCTTCCAAGATGGAAGCCACAATTGTCAAGATTCTGACCAGGGTTTGTTTGTTCCTCTCCTTCCTTGTGTTAAGAAGGATGCTCTCATCTGTCATTAACAACCATTATGAGCCATTACCAGATATTTATCTAAGAACTACTCCCATCCTGTTTGGCTCCCCTTTTCAATGTAAAACACAAACATTACCAGTTTAGGCCTTGTTTTGGTTAAGATTGTGTTTTTCATTCCTCAGATTCTTTCTTGAGTATTTCTTAAGCATTTTGACACTCAAAATGGCTGCAAGATTAATTGCAAATAAACAGAAACAGCAAATGTAGGATGTTGTGTAGTTAATCTGGACTAAACACATGCAAAAAGACCTTTTAGATATTTCGAAATTGTGCACTGTGATATGAGCTGATTCAGTCACAATAATGCAAAAACAAGAAACCTTTTACAACAGCACAAATTAATTTAATAATATATTTTTAATTGTTGTTACATTGTTGTTACATAATCTCTGCCTTTGACCTGTTGAGTGGAGCAGTGAGATCTCTTTCGGTGCTTAAGCGGAAGTATCAAGCAGGTGTAGTTTACCTTTAGATCCAGCCAAATGAGACGCTGCCAGCAAGTGAATAGATAAACAGTAGTTTAGACGTGTTGACTAAACAAAGATTTAACATTCTACTAGAACGGAGTGCTTTTGTAAAGGATCTAATAGCAGTTTTCTGACACGTTAGAGGATTTGATTTGGGATATTTGTTTAAAATTCTGTTTCTGTACTTTGTAACTTTTCTGGTGGAGAGTCTTGACACCTGCTTTTCTACATGGAGATGTTATTGCTTTGCTTAAAATAGAAACAAGTAGGTGACGTTATATATTTCTTTTATTTAGCAAAACTCCCCAAATTAAAAAAAACAACAAAAAACGATAAGTCATACTTAAAATCATTCTAGGTAAACACAGACTGTCTATGAGGCAAACCAATAACATCTGCATGGAGACATTTCAGAACATTTGTAGAGGTCTGAACAGGGTTAGTTTTATACAGAAAGACCCCATGGAGACAATAGACTTTGTTGTTTTGTAGAGAGAAGATTTTAAATAAATGATGCCTTGCAGTAGGACTGTAACAATGAATCGAATTGTAATTGAGATTTAGTCATCTCTAATTGTCAGTGTTATTCTGGTGTAATTTTAATCAAGAGCTAATCAAGAGACCAATCCTGCCAGTAAAAGCATGTGTTTTGGAGACTTAGAGGAAGAAATATGATTATTATAGTAAAACAGAAAGTTAAACGGAACGTGTTAGAAGTTAGTATTGTTTAGGTTTTGTTCGGGCAAGTAATTTTATAAGACAAAATAAAGTCAAAAGTCTAAAACTGAGATTGTTCAATATGGATAAAAAGAAACACAATTTATTTTTTGGCATATTTTTCAGCTCTATACTTTGCTATGGTTTGCCAATTGCACTAACATAACATTAAAGCCATGTGGTAGCCCAATTTCTCTCCCACAATCCGTAATAACTAACAGTCCAAATTGTCCTAGGATAGCCTCCTAAGATCCAGTTGACTCTTCTGCCTGTCTCTAGTGTCCTGAAAACCTAAGTCTGAGAGGGTATAGGTCAGATGTCAGGGATTGTGTAGGTGGAGGGTAATTCTATTGGATGTGGGAGTCACAGGTGGGTAATTGGATGTTGAAGTGGGTGGGACAGGCTGGGCTGGACTAATCCGATGAACGAGGACGGGAGATGTTTATGGAGGTATAGAAGAAAAACACATGATGAAAACATAATCCTCAAACATGTGTAAGATACACAACTGTACTTTCACATGTACTTCATCCAATAATACCTATAATGCTCTTGTTTTTCAAGGCATTTGGCAAACACGCCATATTGACATATTTTACTCTAGTACATTTTGTAGTGATTCAAATCAACAATTAACAATTCAAAAACAAATAACTATATCTTTTAAATTACGAAAGTTCTACAAATGGCACCTGAAACTGAAAGAGGAAACCGATTGAGTAGAGTTGGTAAGGACAGTGCACTGTAACTTTTCTGGTGTAGGGGCTGTCTTTGCTTGGAATGCTAGAACTTATCTCCAGGCCAAGTTACAGGTCAGATCTGTGGATCAGCAGGCCCACTCACAGTCAGAATACAAGACAGTGTTTTGTTGACATCTGTAATTGAACAAATGTGAGATAAATATGTTTAATGACACTCTGTAGACCACTTAATGCAAATTAATACATCTCCATGGAGCAGGTGAAGGCCGTCCTCTCAAAGTTACATAGTGGACCTTTAAGTAGCATCATGTTGTTGTATGTAAACCAATTGTATTCAGACTAATAATGAGCTTAATACAAGGTTGAGAGAGGGGATAGGTGGGTACGTTTGTAGGTCGCTTTGGGTGGGTCGACAAGCCTGAGCAGGTGGTGGTCTAAAATTAGCAGTCGCTGGTCACTAAACCTATTGGAAGGCCGCTACTGCCTAACGCACTGCTGGGGTCAAGTGAGGAAATAGACATATCAAATTAGTTATGTTGATGATGTTGTGGCCATTGGTCACATGGTCAAATTGTCAATCGTATTCTTGCACTGTTATACTTGCAATGCATTAAGGTCAAAGCAATATTTAAAAAAATACAGTAAATAAGATTATTAATAATTAAATAGAGCAGTGGGACTCAAACGTTTCACATGAAGTACCACCTAAGATAATAATAATGCTTTCTGAGTACCTACAGTGAGCTATGATTATGGTAGTTCTAAATAATGATAGATCTCAAGACTGACAAAACCATGAATAGATTTCTAAATAACAGAAGCTTTCTGCGGTAGTCATCTGTTTTTACATGTTTTAATTAAAACAGATTGCTACTGCTTTCATCCATTTTCAATTGATGGTTCTGATTTGAGGCAGTAGGATTTATACTAAATAAGAAGAAAGAAAGAAATACTCCAATGACCCAATGTAACACCAGTGAAAGCCTGTACCACAGTTTTAGAAACACTGACATAGACTTACATTGGAGACAAATCCTAAAACTACCTGAAATTGATTATATAAGTGTGTCCTTGCTCTTCACTACATTGTATGGTGAATGTAAATGTACAGTATACAGGGGTCTGATTGGTAAAATTGTCTAGGTGAATATTTAAGTCAAAGCTCAGCCACCTTAAATCCCGTATTAACAGAATTAACCCCGTTGTTGATGGTTGGTTGGGCAGCTTATACTTACTGTCTTGTCTTGTTGAGGAAGACACTTGATGCACAGCCATTTTCAGCCTACATATTGCACAGGTAAGTTACCACTACAACTGAATCCACATTTTTGAGACCTGTAAAGCAAATTTATGTGTGTTGAAGTCTAAATAGAATCTTTTCTTCTTTTATTTTGTATGTAGGATTACAAGATTATAATTGCAAGGTACAAAGTGACAAACAGGATCTCGTGGCTAAGGAGGGCCAAATTACAGGAAGAAAACCTCAAGTGGGCAAATCCTTGAGTTTTGCTGGAACTAATACAAATCTCATTGAGAAATATAAATAAACAACAATGGGAAATAGCACAAGTAGCGCACTATCAAAGGAGATCCTGGAGGACTTGAAGCTCACCACCAAATTCACTGAAAATGAAATCTGCCAGTGGTACGAAAACTTCCAGAAGCAATGTCCGTCAGGCCGCATTACGCCGGAAGAGTTTGAACAAATCTACTCACGTTTTTTCCCTGAGAGCGACGCCAAAAGCTATGCCCGGCACGTTTTCCGTTCTTTCGACACCAACGATGATGGAACCTTGGATTTCAAAGAGTACATCATCGCTTTGCACATGACCTCCACCGGGAAGACCACGCGCAAACTGGAGTGGGCCTTCTCTCTGTTCGATGTAGACAAAAATGGATACATCAACAAGACTGAAGTCACGGAAATCTGCCAGGTAAATACATAAAGTAGAGAAAATTATTGCAAATATGCTTTTCTGACTTTTAATTCACTGATAAGATACATACATTTCTTCTATTTTCTTAATCATGTTGTGTTGGGGTCAAAAACTAATCTCGACTTCCAGTTTCCTCTTAGGCTGCTTCATATTTTTGTATTTGTTTGGTCCTGGTTTGAACCCAGTCTAATTCTGATACAGATTTGGTTTGATCCTTGGTTCTAGTACTGGTTTAGGCCTGATCTAGTTCAGGTTTAGTTCCAGGTTTAGTCTCAGTTTAGTTTTGACGTAATGTTAGTGTGAATGCATCCTCAGTGTCTTTTTGTGAGATTCTCCAAGACAGAAGGATTGAAAAGGCCTTATTGTTTGTAGTTAAGTAAATTAAGTAAATTAAGCTAAGTCTGTAGTGCTTTTCCTTGCCAAGAGTACAAATTCGCCAACAGTTTGAGAGACAAACGAGTATTACATATGAGAACAGACATGTCTTTTCCTATTCCAGGCTACTCGGGTCCAGCCTGCTAATAAAGTGTACTTAATATCCTGGTTTAATCCTAACTCTAATTTGTTAGGATTAATTAAATGTATGTTTCTCCTTACTCAAACTCTTGTACCAACCTTTAATTTCTTCTGTTTAAGGCAAATGATATAGAATTGTAAGAGGTTTAGACAGATCAGCAGAGAATCCAGCTGGCATTGTAATAGGATTTGATTCCTCGCCAACTGGCTTAAGTCCATATGCGCCATGTTTACGACAACACCATAAAATAGCTACATTTTGAGAGGAAGTATGTTTAAAAGTAGAAAGTGTAAACATCTAAACAATAATTCTACAACAAATACAATATACTTGAAAGTGATATAATATGAAAAGATTAATTAAAGCTTTGAAAATAGAACAATAATCCTGTTTTAGCCATTTATCCGGATGTGTATTTAACTTCCACATAAACCACATCAAAACTAGGACTAAACCAAGACTAGAAGAGGACCAAACAGATCTTGACTGGGCGTTAAAATCAGGACCCAACCAAAACTGATGTGAACTGGGCCTAAAATGAATTAACTTTAAATGTATTGTCTATCATAGAGAAATTTGTCTTCATTTCACCATCGCTTGACCCAACAGTTCTAAGACTTTGGAACAACTGTGGAACTATGCACATAATTAGTTTTATTTTGTATTTTATCATTATTTGTTTACTTTTATTCCTAACAGAGCCATTGCACACACCAGTATATAGTTTATTTCAATCCAGCTCCTAATGTGAGCAGAATCCTGACCCCAACAGGGCCAGAGGAGAGGCTGGGATCTGGGTGTTTGGCCCGGAGCCTGAGTCTTGGCTGTAATCCATGTTAATCTAGGTGACTTAAATGTGCCTCTAAAGTGGGATGCACTTTAACCTGAAATGCTCAGTCATTTACACTTACTGTGAATCCTTCTCCCGTATACACATGCATACACATTATTTATTTTATACAGTTACATTCAAAAAGCTGTAACCTGTTGCTTTGGTGTGAATATTTATTAATAATTACATATTGTAGGATAATTTCAGTACTTGTAATTAATAAAATCAAGTTAAGCAAAGATAAACAAAAGGTGTGATCACATTTATATACACACCACATCAAAACTGAGACTAAGCCAAGAACTAAACCTTTACACCAGGACTAAACCAGGACTAGACTAGACTAAAGACTAGAAAAGTCTAGAAAACTGGCTCTATATGAGGACTAAAGCAAGATCAAACCAGGTCTGAACCAGGGCCAAACTAGGACACCCTAAAATACATACTAATAATATAATATTTCTGATTACTTGATGATTAAGACCACTGTGGCTGTATGTAAATGAATGATATTGTATATAATGTTGACTTATGTTGTGCTCAATCCCATCACAGGCCATCTTTAAGCTTATCCCGAAGGAAGAGCAGAGTAAGCTACCCGAGGATGAGAACACACCAGAAAAGAGGGCTAACAAGCTCTGGGCTTTCTTTGAAAAGAAGGACAATGGTAAGAAGAGGGTAGGGCTGGGAAATGATCCTAGTTTTAGTCAAGATCAAGAGTCAGGCATTTGTAATTGTCATAGATTTTTAATTGAGAGGTCCACAGCTTTTACTGACAGAGGATTCTCTGTCAGTAAAAGCATGTGGTGTGATGAAGAATTCAGACTTACAAGGCAGAAATTTGACTGTTTTTTGTGTAAAATGGCAGTGACTAAAACTCTGTATGGTTTAGTTTCAAGAAATTAATATTGAAAGTAATTTCAATTTGTTTCATAAGACAAAATTTTAATCGCAGTTATAACATAGCTGTATAAGTGAGTCACATATTAGAGTTGTGTTCAGGTGACATACTTCTACCATTAGTTTAACATTCATCTGAAGGGAAATCAGCTGGCATCTCTGGGCATTACTCCTTTCCAAAAACAGGTTATCTCCCATAAAGTTATACAGAACCTGCCTGAAAATATGAATATTATGTTCAATTGTCTGCTAGTCTGGTTATGAAATTGCACTTGAATGTGTGTAGGTCTTTCCCTGTAGGCAGATTCAGAATCTTTTGAATCATGAAAAGTCCTCAAAATGTTTCCTACAACAGGAATTGGAAGCACATTAATAGTGTAAAGTAAACTGTTATATTATTTTAGTCAGAAATGTCTAAATGGGTTAAACGATTCCACCTTCTGCTTTTCTGCCAGGAGAAATGATTGCTTTGCAGAATGTTCCAGAGTATTTGCAGTGTACTTGTACTGTATATCCACGTGCTTCTGACAGATTGCTTTGTTCTTGTTTTCTTCTGATTTATATTAAATGAAGATAAGTGAAATGTAAGCCACTGGTGGTACCTCTGCAGCATCTGTTGGTCCATCCTGTAGATTAATATGTTAGTATCAGATCTGAGGCTTAGCAACAATACAATACCACCCGGTGTTCACTATCTGTTATGTCACGCAGGCTTTGCAGTTCTTTACAATGTTCTGCATAGGAGGACCTTAGGTGACTTGGATTGCATGTTTGAGTATAATACAGGCAGATAAGACAGGATATCTTAGTATTATTAAGTCTTACACATCCTTCTTTAAGACTATAGGGTATGCGTTGTGTTCAAGTTTTAGAATTTGATGATAGAGGGCAGGGGCCTATGAATCTCTACGGGAGACTCACTGTTTTTGGAAGTAATATCCTAAAACATTATTATTTAATAGGTATTTGCTTCACAAACTAGCCATATTAATCATATGACTTTAAGTATATTCAACTGATAACATCTTTTTGGTTGAATAATGGTGCCACTTTCTAAAGCTATTGTGGAGAAAAAAATCACATTTGTTTATTCATACAGAGAAATGATTAAAATTTGTGGAAATTTTCGTTTCATGTGGATAGGCCCAGTAATTACAGAGATATTAACCATAAACCAGGTCAACAAATCTGCAATCTGGCAATTAAACAGCATATTTATAGAACAGAATTACAATATAATTACGGCCTTTTATTACTATCTGTTGTTGTCTATATGTTGTGGAAACCCCCCAGTAAAAATGTTCCATGCTGTGCTTTTTTCCAGAGCGTCTGGCTGAAGGAGAGTTCATCAAAGGAGTAATTGAAAATGAAAATGCGATGCGTCTCATCCACTACGAACCAGTCAAAGAATAGAAGACTTTCTGCTATGGATTTTTTTCCCTTGTTTCCCTCAGCCCACTTCATGTAAATAAACCCTCAATTTCATGTCCTTTTTCAACAATTGTACTGAGTTTGTTAAATATTTGAAATAGAGGCCTAGTTCATGAGTCAAAAAAGGTGATAATGAATAATAATTTGATACAAAAACATTATACAGAATTGTGTTACTGGCATTTATAGGCAAAATTACAAAATATAATTTGTAAATAATTGTTGCAGTGTTTTCTGGTCATGCAATGGTGTCTGTTGTTTAGCTTGGTACTGGTTTTTAATACTATTGAAAGTAATACTATCTTAGTGAATGCAAATACCTCATTATAATTATTGATAATTAAAACGGTTCTATTTGTTCTGTAATTTCACCACTGCTGAGAAATGTAACAAACTTAAATAAAGCCTTTCTTTCAATTAAAATGCATCTTGTCTTTTGAAATTCTTACTGATCTGCTCTTAAAAGTGTGCTGTGTAACTTTTATGTTGATTTTGTCTCCCTGGAGGTGTTAAAGATTTGCCTTGAAGCTTCACAGTATGATTTTAAATCATTAAATCTGTTAAATTCAGTGTTTTTATTGCCAAAAAGAAATAAACATTCTTACTGTGAGTGGGATCTCCTCTGCAGTGACATGGCCTGATTGCTTCACCTGCTTGTCCTTATGGACATAGATACGTTTAATGCCATTCTCTGGAACAGTCATGGCAAATTAATAACATCTCCAAGGAGACAAGTAGATGGCAGGTCTTCACCAGAAAAGCTACATGGTGCACAGTTACTTTAAGTTCTGTTTAGTCAGAACTGAAATAATCACTAATAGAAAATCACAAAAGCTTTAAGTGTTACTTACTTACTTACGATTGCATCCAGCTCCAGATGCAGTGGAGGGTCATGGAGACCACAATGACATTCCTCTGTATGCAAATTACAGAGTGCCATTATTCTGAACTTAGCAAGAAAACATCACATTAAACACTAAGAAAAAAAAGTCAATGTCTTAGGAACAAAAAGATGCCACCTCTTTTAAGGGAAATGAATAACAGGTGTACTAGTGGCAACAATGAGACAACCCCTAAAACAGGACTGGTTTTGCATGTGGAGATCATTTCAATTTTCTCACTTTTGGTCTATTTAGGCAGGTTTTCCAATAGTGTTGTTTTGGCTAGAGTGATTATCACTACTGGGAGTTTGAGACCATTCCTTAACCCTACAGAAATTGCACAGATTATCCAACTTCTCCAGGATGACACATCCGGATGTGCTGTTGCAGGGAGATTTAATGTGTCTCCCAGCACAATCTCCAGAACATGGAGGAGATTTCAGGAGACAGGCAGTTACTCTAGAAGATCTGGACCAGGCCATAGAAGGTCCTCAACCCATCACCAGGACCCATATCTGCTCCTTTGTGCAAGGAGGAACAGGTTGAGTACTGCCTATGCCCTACAGAATGAGCTCCAGCAGGACACTGGTGTGAATGCCTCTACCCAAACATTCAGAATCAGACGTCATGAGGATGGCTTGAGGACACCACGTTCTGTAGTGGGCCTGGTGCTCACCATCCAGCACCATGGAGCTCCACTGGTATTTGCTAAACAACACCAGAATTGACTGGTGCCCTGTGCATTTCACATATGAGAGCAGGTTCAACCTGAGCATCTATGAGAGAGTTTGGAGAAGACAACGAGAATGCTCTGCTGTCTGCAACCTCTTTCAGCATGAGCGGTTTGCTGGTGGGTCAGTGATGGTCTGGAGAGGCATCTCCATGGAGGGATGCACAGACTTTTATCTGCAAGAAAACAGCAGTCAGACTGCCATTAGGTATGAAATCCTTGAACCCACTGTCAGACGCAATGCTGGTGCAGTAAGTCCTGGGTTCCTCCTGATGTACGACAATACCTGGCCTCATGTGGCAAGAGTACTGGAGAACCTGGAGATTTGAATTTGAATGCTCCTCATGATCACCTGACTTAAACCCAACAGAACACCATTGGGACATTATGTTTTGGTCCATCAGACGCCGGCAGGTTACTCCAGGAACTCAGTGATGCCTTTACACAGATCTCATTAGGAGCATGTCACAACATTGTCAAACATGTTTACAAGCATGTGGGGGGCACACAAGATATTGAGAAGCATTTTGAGTCACAGAAATTAAATTTTGTCAAAATGGACTAACCTGCCATATCATTATTTACTTTGATTTTCATGGTGTCTATAAAATTTATTAATTAATCATTGCATTTATATAGCGCCTTTCAAGATACCCAAAGCACTTTACAGTTCATTATTCATTCACTCCACACTCAATGGTGGTAAGCTACTCCTGTAGCCACAGCTGCCCTGGAGCAGACTGATGGAAGCAAGGCTGCCAAACTGCACCATAGGCCCCTCCGACCACTGCCATCATTCACGCACACACCACTTTCATACTAGGCAATGTGGGTGAAGTGTCTTGCCTAAGGACACAATGACAGTTTTTGCCACTGACGCCCCACTGTGACACCTGGAATTCCCAGCGGTCTCCCATTCAAGTACTACCCAGGCCCGGCTCTGCTGAGCTTCTGAGATCTGACGGGATCAGGCTTTGACAAGCCGGTATGGCCACACATTAAGCCATCTGTATACTGACAATGCTATTTCCATTAAAAGAGGTAGCATCCTTTTGTTCGTAAGACCCTGCCCTGTCCATATTTGTATAGATACCCATCATATTTTTCACATTGAGATCTGATTTGTTTTCAATTGTTTCCTTACTTTTTTGAGCAGTGTATGTAAACTGCATTTGTTGCTTTTCCTAAATTTGTATTTTATTTTTTTTTACAACCTTTGGTTTTGGCCGCTCACCCTCTGCCCCTCGGTATCCCCTTCATCTTCACCCAGTCTACGTCTTCTTCAGTCCAACTCAGGATTACACATAATCTTCTGTTCGACATCAGCGTGCAGACTTTTCAAATCTCTGTAATCTTACCATCTCCATGACTCTGGAGCATGTGCACTGTGCGTTTATTGTACACTTTCAGACATACAAAGTGTCTATGGAAGTCATGCAAACACGGTATTGTGTGACATCTGTGACATGACAAAGACAATGTGCTCTAACGGCAACACAGAAATGAAGATTGTTTTTAAAAAATCCTGCAATATACAGTATAATTTTGCATTCAATGTTAAATAAATAGCACAAAGTTGCAATTTTTTTAGTTTAAAATCACGATCATCATCATTTAGTGTTAGAATACTATGATATACTATTACTGACAAATGCACAGGTTTTGGCCTGCTTGTGGCTAATATTTGTAATTATTTGACCTATCTGTTTGTTGTATTTGTAGTACCCTGAGAGTTGAAGTGAAAAAGACATGATACTGGAGTTCTAACGCAGGAAAACTTAACTGAATTTCCTTCGGGATCAATAAAATATTTATTTATCTATCTAGGATAAGTTTAGTAGCCGTCAGTACAGGACCCAGCACTCGGTGAGATAAACCCTCAAGACACCGTGATAGTCTTGGCCATTCCCTTCTAGTGCAAGAAATGGAATTTCTCTTAGCACTGTCTATATGAAATAAAAACCATGTCTTCTTTTCCAATTAATTGTGACGTATCTCCATTGAAATTAGCTTTCCAAAATATCCAGAAATACTCAAAATGGTGTCTATACATTCACTGTTACAAAACAGGATCATACTTGTATATGTTCCACTTCTCCACCACGAGGCACTGAGAAATACCCAGATAACACATGTACTTCATGTCCAGTCTCTGTGGTACATGCATAGGCTTTACATTTGATACTGAAATATTTTGAGGACCAGTTTGTTGCGAACATTCATTTAAAACCGTAAAAAGTTTGCATTAGTCCAGCAGCAGAGTCTTCATATTAGTTATTATATTATTAACAGGGAGAGTCAATTCGCTCCATTGCACCTTCCATTTCGTCCATCTCTCTCTCACAGTCCTCACAGCCTTCAGGTCCACATCCTCCCACTAAGACCAGCGTAGGGACATCACCATTTTCCACTCCCACCGCATTCCCATTGGGCGCCCAGGCCACGTCCATCATCCCATCCGGGCACTGTAAGAGGCCACTGACAGAGTAGAGCCCGCCCCCTGGCACCACTTCGTCGTAGGCCGGGGCACGCGCTGCAGATCGGGCCTCCTCCAAGCGAAGTCTCTGTCGGCGGCGCATTTCGATGATGGTTTTGGTGTAGGAGTTCAGAGTGACCACAGCCGCGCCCATGCAGCAGCTGAAGGACACCCAGGCCAGGCTGTAACAAGAGGACAGGGAGGTGTGGATGGAGGACAATGCATGATACTGAGGAATAGGGCTGCTCAATTTGAATGGAAAAAATCTGTGATGATTCAAATCATGTAATTGTGCAGCCCTGTACTGGGTAAAACTGTATTAGTCACCTACGCAAAGGACCAGCCGTAGTCCCAAGACTGAGGTCTCCAGTCTTTAGGTCCCACAATGACGGTCATCTGAAACACTGTGGTGTACATCATATGAGCCACCATCCCCAGGAGACCTGCAGAGCACCACATAAGAAGGAGCCATCTGAATATCACAATAGTTACTTTAAGAGGCACTTTGTAACTGTTCTGGTGAGAGGTAATGCCACCTGTTGGTTTCCATGGAGAAATTGTTGCTTTACTCTGGCATATTCCACTAGCCTGAGTCATTAGTCGGTTTCACTTCGTGGAAACCGTCTGACCTCGCAGCATTAGGATTTGTTCGCTCGACTGTAGGCGGGTACTTTTTTATTTAACCAATCGCTGCTATTTGGTTGTGACGTTTGTAATGCGCTGCTAACGGGGCTAACTGGTATATTAAGCTTTTCCCAAATCCCGTAGGAAGAAGGGCAATAACGTCTTTCCCCTTGATAATATTCACCAAACATTCTGTTTGTTCTGGCTTTAAATCCTCGATCTCTGGAATCGTTGCCAACACAGACTGTATGGCTCTTCGCTGATTGACTGGTGCCCAGACTTGCACTTCCAGGGTATTTCCGGTGTCTAGTGTATTGCTAACCTGGTCGCTGGAGAGAAATGAAATTGAGAAGAGGCACTGGGTGGCACCGGCCTAGCTAATATTCCACAGTATGGCATTAGACTTACTTTAAACAATACTCAAACTTAATTCTTACTGAGTGGAATTGCTTTTCCACAAATATAACCTGTAAATTGTTGGTGGCGTCACCTGCTTATCTCTTTTGTGATAGCTAAATTAAATGCCATACTGTGGAACATTCCAGGTAAAGCCGATGCAGTCCCTCATTTGGCTTGGTGAAGTACTGTAATAAGATATCCATAAAGACAAGCTGGTGGCATACTTCACATCAGAAAGGTTACATACTGAACCTTTAAAATATTGACATTTCCATTAGCTCACCTGACAACACTGTACAAATTGCAGCAAATGCATTTATTTTGAGTGAGTGCATTTCTTTATGAGAGCACAGGACTTCCAGCCACATCAGTAAGAAACCCATTCCCAAAAGGCCGATGTAGGTGAACTCCGAGACCACAGACAGCCACAGCACACCTGAACCAAACCACAAACATGTGTTATAATAATAATACCAGTTTTATATATAGTGCTTTTCCAGACACCCAAAGCCACTTTACAATTTCATACATTATTCAGGGTTAGGCCTGGTTTGGATGAGAGATCACTGGGAATATCAGGGCCCACAGTGGGGCAACAGTGGCTCTAATGCAAACTGTCTTTGTGCCCTAAGGCAAGACACTTCACTCACAATGCAATATTATTATGAGCGTGTCTCACCTTGTGTATCTCCGGGAGTTAAATCTATAAAACTGCGACATTTTTCTCCTGTCAACAAAAAACACATAATTAATTCATTTCAGTTATTTGTTTAATATTTTTTTGTATAAATACTACTCTTCTTAGCTCTAAATAGCATAAAGAAAGACTTAATTCATAATGAAATAATGAAATAATTATTATAGTAATTAAATATGTTGTATTAAAAAATCAGAACTATTGCTCATTTTAATAGTTTAATAATATTTAATACTGTTCATTTTAAACATATCACAGTGGTCCAAAGTTATTCCTTAAGCATTCCAAGCATCCTAATTATTGACCACAAGGAATATAAGCACTTTCAGAGATCAGAGCAGCACATGCTAACGCGCACTTCCTGATTATTAAACAATAAACCACTTAATAATTAAATGCAAACTGCACACAACAGACTTATTTTTTAACCTCTAAAGCTGCTTATGTCTGTACTGGAGCAAGATCAATTTTGCTCAAATACATGGTAAAAAATTGGGTACTTTAAATAGTTTCTAATCCTTAATTATTCTTAATTAAGTAGTAATAAACAATTTGTCCATTACGAATTAAGTCTTCCTTCATGCTTTGAGGCTAATTAAGGTGTATTTATTATAAAGTGCAACCCAGTCATCTTGTAGTAACTGTTTATGTCCTCACCATCATTGAGTTTCTCGCAGCTCTCCCAGAAGCCCGTGTGGAAGTATCTGAAGGCGTACTTGTCCTCTCCAGTCTCCCAGATGTAGCTCACGGCGTTGGCCAGCTGCCTCTGCTTGATCCGGGCCAGCTCCTCCTTCCGGGCCGGGGACAGGGTGCGGTTGTAGGGGTTCTGGGTTGGACTCTCTGTGTGGTAAAAAACACAAAATAATCTTAACATGCCTCTCGTAAGATATAAGAATGAATTTACTCAGCGGCTCATTCATATTATTCATTAGGACACTGAAGCACTTGATAAAACCCTTTGCAACTATTTAAAGGCTTGTACTGTATAAGCAGCTCTAGAGGTCTAAATACGTTTTTTTTGTTTTGTTTTGTTTTTTTAACATTTTTAAAACCGTAAAAATCAAGTTCAGCATCTTTAACCTGTGTTGTTGTGATTCAGATGATATTTCATCCTATTCATGGGTTTCAGAATGATAAAACATGATGAGCGTTGCCATAGCGAATAACAATTCATAACAAAATATTATATCTTTGCAAATATGCATGTAATCAATATGAAATGGTCTTTTTAATCAGCACATTGTAGAATCTGAGCAGAATTGTGCATAGGCTGGAGCTGCCCTCACCTCCTGCTCTAATCCCAAACCTTAATTGAGTTCACAATTTGGGAAAGGTACGAGCAAAAAGAGATTAAAGAGTTGTTACACTTGGGACATTGAGTTTTTATGACCCAAAAATCAGATCATCCCAGAGATTATTACTTTTTTTTTTGTTATTTGGCATTATAAAACAAGGCCAAAATCCATCACCTTTGGGTGTTCCATTGTATTTTATTAATTTAACTTTGTAGATCAGAGTCAGGTCAGAGCAAGTTGTCTTTTACAAAAACAATCTGGTAGTTCGGCCACAGTGGAGATGATTTTTTTTAGAGTGCATTCACACCAGCACCAAAATTAGAAATTAAAACTGAACTGTGAATATAGCTAAATCTCACTGAGGATTAGACCAGGACCAGAACAGAACCAAACCACAGTCTACATCAAGACTAAACTGGGCTCCATTTTCAATTTACAATTACAATTTTAATGCAATTACAGGAGACAAAACAATGCACAAACTACCACTGTAACAGAAGCATGGGTGGGTTTAAGTCTTGAAAAATTTGCAGTGAGTCCGACTGAGAAAAGGGAAGTGTCACCAGGACAAAACTAAGACTAATTCTGGACTAAACAAGGTCTGAAACAGGTTTCAAACTACCTACACCCCAACATGTAGGTAATTATATCTAGTAAGAAAATGTGAAGACACTTGCATATAGCACATCAAAACTGCCTAAACTATTAATTTAGAGTGTCCAGTTTAGTATTGGTTAAGTCCTGTTCTAGCCCAGATTTAGTTCCAGGTTTAGTCAGTTTAGTCTTAATTTTTGTGTTGTGCAAATGTGAATATACACTAAATATGGCCTACACCAGGATGAGACCAGGACCAAACCAGGACTAAATTTGGACTTAACCGGGACTAAACTCGAACCAAATGTGAAGGTTTGTGAACCTGTAGTGTAAGGCTCGCTGTTGTTCTGTCCACAGTTCTTCATCTTGACGGGCGACAGGCACAGAGGCTTCACCACTTTATGGGTCCCCTCGCACCAGTAGGACGTGCACAGAGCGAGGATGGACAAAGCCAGAGCCAGAGAGGTCAGGGTGAGGGAGAGGAGGGAGCGGGCACGCCGAGACATACGCTCCAACATGGCCAACACACAGGTGAGCAGAGAAGCCACAAATGTACTAATACTACTACTATATATAAGAACTGTATTACTGTCTGTTATGCACTAGTGTATGCTGTTCCTTTTGTATAATTTTATTTAAATAATAGTTATTGTTGATGTCAAATAACAGTATTGTTTAAAATATTACACAAGAAGAAGTAAAATGTAGTGGCCTGAATAATTACATATAATTTAACCATTTTGTATGTAACATTTGGCATTTTGAAACGACTGACCATAAAAACATGAAAAACATTTTTTATATCTGAGTGATGATGACAAAAACACAAATTTTCATGTAGTTAACATAAAGCATTTTTCACTTATTGACTTACTAAAAGTGGCAAATACTTCATGAAGTAAGAATACAAGTAAAAGTATGTAATAACAATAGTCTTAGAAGTACTTATTTTTCAAAGGTTTCAAAAAGTTGCTCTTGAAAATGTGATTACTTCAAAAGTCTTTACTTCAGTAAGAATATAATAAAAGGAAGAATCAGGTAGTATTTTTTTTTGTACTCTTGCAAGTACAAAATCTTTTAGAAGTTGCTCTTGTGGCTGAATACTTCCTAAATTTTTCTCAGGTTACTTAAAATAATAAGAATTAGGTGAGCAAAAATATAGTCTCTGAAAAGTCTTCTAGAAGAACAATTGGATGTCCAATTTGGATATAATTACTCTAGAAAAGTTTATGTTGGCTACCCACCTCTCGCAGCACAAAAACAAGGCCCAGGGGCAAGACAAGAGGGAATAGGTCAAAACTACATGGAGGAGAGAGGAGCAGAGCCACAGATAAAGACAAAAGTATGAGACAGATGTTTCGGGAGGGTTTAGGACCAGATGAGCTACCAGGTTTAAATGAATCGCAGGGGCTATATATGATGTAACAGCAGATAAAACAGTGGGCAAAATTATACTGTCAAGTCAGATTAATTAAAGCAAGAGCGGAGGAAGAGCAGGAGGAAGAGCAGGAGGATAGAGACATTGGGGCACTGCAAAACAGACAGATGGGGGTAAAAAAGTGAACAAGAGCGGATTTAGGCTGAAACCGAGTTGTGCCAAGGGGAAATAGTGGGATTGGAGGGGACTTGTGGTCCGTTGGCCACACAGCTGTAGTGTATGATCTTGTTACTGGACTTTAAATGATGCTGCAATGAATCTAATGTAGGCAAAGGTTTGGAAGAATTTTGAATAAATTTATGAAAAGATCATGAAATATAACGCACCAGTACTAAACATTTTACTTTTTAAATCAAGCTTGCATACTTATTTTATATAAGAAATTTTATTTAAATACAAAAGAACGGTTTAATAGGTCATTTAACATAAGCCTCTTTAGGTTTACGTTTTGCCTCTCCCTAAGATACCTATTTTGTTATGTATTTTAAGAAATGTATTAATAGGAATCAACCAAACTAATGATTAATCTGCATATACTTGCTTGACATATTCAAACAGTAAAACAGTAAAATAATCACTTTTTCTTTTTAAATTTTGCTTATGTTAAAAGTGAAAACACAAAATACTGTGTTATACTATCCACATGTTGACACTAGTATTTTAATAGGACATAAATCTTCTAAGCATTTAAACCTGATCATGCTGCTCATTGTAAACCAGGCAGGCGGGTTTTAATTATCTGGGGTAACGCTGATATTGCTTTTTGATGAAATGATGGCTAAAGCGCATATATAAATGAAAATCTTCTGTGGTAATCCTAGTCACTGTGCTATAATCTGTTTATGTTAGGTGTGTTCTAGTGTGAATTCCTGCAGCTGTCTGTCCATGCTCTCTCAGTGACCACCGCCTCTGCAACACAAAAGCATTAAACACATCACTTTCTCATACAGTGTATAAAATATTACTTGGTTTTAAATGCCCTCACAACATGCTATGAGCTAATAATTTTTAATACAGATGAGGGACATCTGAAATTAATGTTGTTAAAATGCTGATTTTTGTATTACAGTGAGTTCTTGGGTGTAGTCACTAAGAGAAATTATTAGGTTTAACATTTGTGCATTTACCTTTTAGATATTTCATGGCAAAGTACTGCATTATCACAAGGGAAAACTGGATCTTGCTCCCCCATCTGGGTGTCTGACATCATTACATTATAAAATCTGAAACTCGCAAATTGCTACCTATACTATTGGGCTCAGTTAAAGGTAAACTATGGAACGTTTCTTCTGGCAGGTCCACTATTTTCTTATTCCTGTGGAGGATGTTAATGCCTTGCCTGGGGTGTTTCATAGTATGGCATTAAACTTATCTATCTCCATGGAGACAAATAGGCGACAACATCAGACCAAGTTGCCGGGCAGATCTGTAGAAAGACACACAGTAACTCACAGCAGTAATGCATGTCTTTGAGGAATAAAAACATGTGCAATTTAATACATTTAAAATAGATATGTTTAATGCCATACTGAGGAACATTCCAGGGAAACCGATCACATCTCCATGTAGACAAGCAGGTAACAGAGCCTATGGCAGAAATATAGTGTAGTGGGTTTTATATGACATAACAGTAAATGGAAGGAGGTGTAATTATTCCCCATATGCATATTTATTTGTATTTGTACATATATATTTAATTTTGGGCAAGTAGAGATTTACATTCTCATACAATGGAACATATAACATAAGTGAAATCATAATAAAAATGAAAATAATAACATTTTCAGTCCCTCTGCTTTTTACTTTTGGCATTAGAGAAACTGCACTTCACTTCAAATCCAAGTCCTGCCTACATTTGTTCAACATTACATGTTCAAGGTCAATAACACAGTATAGGGGTGAGCAATATATAAAAATATATAATTTTTAAAATGTCCTTATGACTGTATAAATTCCAAAATGTACCAAAATATCTGATATAGTTGTTAGGTGATTTCTTTGCTAGTTTGTCTGATTTTATTTTATTTTATTTTTAAATTAGAGATGATAATTTTTATATCTCCAAAAATGTATTTATTTACTTATTTGTGTGTTACAGATTTGGAGATATGTGGATTTTGCTTTAATTATGAAAATAATAGCCAATCAATGGGGGAAACTACCCGTGTCCCCATAATTTTAAGTATTTAACAGGGTAAAACAAACAAACAAACAAACAAACAAACAAAAAACATGCTTAAATAAAAACTAGGTGCAAATTGTTTACATGCATTTACAAAAGATTACTAAGAAAATAATAAAACTGATGTGAAAGTAATATCAGCAAGACATAGTGAATATTAGGAAGTAACATTCACTTACCATGTTTATGCTCTGTCAAAATTACTGAAGAAAATAAGAATTCTAAAAGCAGTCCATAAAGTACAGCATTCCTACTCAACCACTCTTGATTGGAAAAAGAAAAATCACTAATTCCTTAAATATTTTAGCTCCTCATTGCGCGGTCCTCTGTGTGGTTGGTTGAGCATCAGTGACCTCTGCCTCTGGAGATGCACTTTAAGTTCAAGAGTCGCGAGAGGAGTGGACCCAGCAGCTTCACGCAGCAAACTACCAACCGCCAATACTCTCTTTCTCTCTTTTCTGTCTTCCTTAGGTCGCTAACCCACCCTGAACACTGTAATCCCTCTAAATCCATCTGCATTGCCCCCCCGCTTCTCATGCCAGGCAGTTTTCATGCATAGTTCATACACACTAAAAGCAGAAGTGGTATAGCACTCACACTTACAGTATACTTTTACTCCTGTTTGCGTAATATTTGACAGTGTAACTTACTTGAGTACACATTTTGGTTACGCTTCCCATTTTGAGTAAGTCTACATGTGAAAAACATTTGTGTTTCTTGCACCGCTCCTTCAGATATTTAGTTTTTCGTATGCAGTCTATATCTTTTGAACACACCAGACTTGTGCATTATTTAATATTTTATGCTTCCAGTTACATCAACTTCAAATTACAACGCAGATGTTACATACAGACAGTGATTTGCTCTGTACTTATAGTTGAGTAATATTATTTCAGGGCAATGGTAATCTTATTTAGCACATTTTTTTATTACTTCACCCACTTCTGAGTAAAAATATATGAGGTTTAACACAGTGCCGTAAAGCACTGACTCTTAACGTGTGGTGCGTAGGCTTATTCTGGTGCTACTCAAAGTCTACAGCAGTTTCAGACTCTGTTTTAATTACATGTAATTTCTCTCAAGCTTCGGTCCTGCATTTTGTGGAAGAAATTGTGAAAAAAGGTCAAATCAAAATGTCAATCTTTTCACTTCAAAAAACAATGCAAAAATCAGTTTAAAATAATTTATTTACATAAATCTATATACATAAAAATGTCACGAGGGCTTGTCAAAAACAAATTATAAAGACACAGTGTTATTTAAGAAAAAAGGAAAATTTATAAATAAGAAAATTGCTATCCCCAGGCCTGAGATTTACAATAGTGTAGAACGAGCTTCCCATCACTGCCAAAACACTGCAAGAGAAAGAAATTGTAAGATGAGGAAAGCAGAATATCACACATGTCAAATACAATCAACACACACACACAAATAAAAGGTTTTTTTTATTTAATTCAGTATCTATCTATCTATCTATCTATCTATCTATCCATCTATCAATCAAGTATCAAAAGAAAAAAGACAATTTGTTACATGATAAATATTAGACCAATAATACTACTCACATCAAAAAGGACTCCTACTTCCTGATCCGGCGATGGTGCAAATGATTGGTTAACATAAATCAACTGAAAAACAAAAACAATAGAGTTAAGATTTAATTTACATTATTAATTAGTAAAATTACCTGCTAAAGATTCAAAGGGCCATTAGTTTATGGTTAACATCCCTGGAATTACTAAACTGTCCCATTCATTCATACAACCAAGATCTTCTAATTTTAGAATGTGAACGCAACCCAGTCATTTCCCAATAACGATTACGTGAAAAAATTGTCTTACCAGCTGTTCATTGGCATCGAACTTGAGGAAACGGGCAATAAACTGTGAAAGAGATTGCACTGTCCTTCCTCTGTCCACAGACCATTTCTTTGTTTTCATTATTGGAGTGTCTCCTACGGCTTTCAACAGGACGTCAACTGTGGCAAGAACAGAGACAGGTTAAATTAAAAAGTGGATTATAAATGCACATCCTATTCACTTCTTTCACCTAGTTAGTCCCAAAACAGCTAAATTAGGACTAAACTGGATGTACACCAGATGTAAACTACAAGACCCCATTTTTCAGGACTGAATCAAACGTCAAATTACATAAAATAAGTAAATATTAAACTAAAATCTGAAAAAGCACTACCTTTTTTCCAATCATTTCCATAAGTGATAATGTTTTGGAAAATTAAACAACAATAAAATATACAGTGGGCGAAAATGATTACACTAGATCTGTACATATTAGTCTTTTAGGTGCATTGCTTTATTCCAACATTACTCCAACACGGAAATATAAAATATATAAACAATGTTGGATAAAATTGTGTTAGCATTAGCATTAGCCGGGTTTGACAGCATAGGCGGGACTTAAGTTGTAATATCAAACGCTGATTGGTTAAACAGAATCAGAACAGTATTTTGACTGGCTTAAGTCATTGTCAATCATCTCATTCCCGGAAGTGCCTCGAAATCACATTTAAAAACAACTGTGACGAATCGCTATTAAACATGACGCGGTTGAATTGAAACACATGTACGCACTTTTTTTCTTCTCATCGTTGGTCGCAGCGTCGTTAGCAGCTGGTTGTGCTTCGTCTTTTGGTGTTTCTGGTGGAGATTCCGCATTGTCAGACATCTTCAGGTGACTACGTTGGGGTGAATAATAAACCCACCCACTGTAGCCTTCCAACCAGCACAGCCATTCTCCTATTGGTCCAACAACCCTTCAATCTAAAAATACTGTAATCTCATTGGCTGTGGGCATTGTCGTGGGCAGTGTTTGTTACGGAGTTTGTGAGCCCTGTGTCCTTTTAGCTACACTTCGTATTTTTGGTAAGTTTCATTTTGATTTCTGTGATTTCACTATCGCAGACATATAGTATCCTGTCATTTTTATCACTAAGGATTGAGTTTTTGTCGTATTTTGTTCACTTGCATGCATTTTTAAATAATTAAGAAGTGTATTCATTTGCCTTTTAGATAATATTCAACTTAAATGAACTGATCCGGTTGGCACCTGCTTTTTATCTCTCCAAACAAGACAGCACCAGTGAGTTACGCGTGTCTGTGTTCATGCATTATATTTAGTGTATTTGGCTGACATTTTCTAAAGCTTAATTTAATTTCAAGAAGCACCGTTTTGCGCATAACTTTTTTTGTGTTTTCTTTTGCAGTGGCTACAATTGGTAGACTCTCCACTAAAGATTCAGTGCTCTTCCTTTGTGACATGCAAGAGAAGTTCAGACCAAACATTTTTCAATTTACCAACATTGTCAGTAACGCTGCCAGGTTGCTCCAGGTTGGTGATATTAACAGTCACGTTTGCACTGCCTGAACTCTTTTATGGTGCTTTGGTTAATCTTTAATAATCTCCACGTAGGCCAGTCGGGTATTGGGTATCCCTCCTATTCTGACAGAGCAGTACCCTAAAGGGCTGGGACCCACAGTACCTGAACTTGGAGCGGGGGAATTGACCGCTCATGCCAAGACATCTTTCACCATGATGATCGCAGAAGTGGAGAAGCAGCTGCAGGAACTGGGGAACCCCAAACAGGCCATCCTCTGTGGAATAGAGACTCACGCTTGTATCGCGGTAATTTACAAATAAACACTTTGTTAAATAGCTTTCTTACTATGTTGTGATTATCAGATGGGTGAAACAGGTTGAGTGGGTTGTGTATTTTTTTTGCAACAACCACTGGACCATTGACCTTGCTCTTCAGATTTTAGTCAATATTTAATTATATAATATTTTATCTCTGACTTTATTTTACTATGCATAGCTCCTATTATGATTACTCATGTTTGCACAACAACTCATGTTTGCCAAATTTTGTGAATTTTGGCAACAACAATAATAATGTATATTGACTGCCTTATATTAGTGCACAGCGTATGACCTGCTTGAAAAGGGGATGGAGGTTCACATTGTAGCAGATGCAGTCTCATCCAGAAGGTTTGTGTGTTTAGATGCATTTTCATAATGTGATGAGCTAATACTGTGTTTTTTTATGTTGTAACTAATAATGTTTTCTTCTACAGCCAAACAGATAGACTTTTTGCCCTCTCTCGTCTGAAGCAGAGCGGGGCTTTCCTCACCACGACAGAGGCCGTTCTGCTGCAGCTTGTTCAAGATGCAAAACACCCAAATTTTAAAGAGGTATAAAACCTGTTGTAAAATACTCTATACTCCTCTTACAGGATGTAGAGAGTCTGCCACTTGTCTCCAGAAACGTGTCTTTACTTTGCAAGTTCTATAATATGACATTAAACTTATCTCCATGGACACATACAGGTGACAGCACAAAACTTAGTGAATGCCATGTATTATTTTTAAGAATATAAACACCTGTAATTGAATAAATGCAAGGTAGACAGCCAAGTCAGATGGTGAAACCTTCAAGGAAAAGCAGTCTCCATAGATAAAAGCAGGTGACTGACCCTCTACCAGAAAAGTTATAAAGTGAATACATTTGCACAAACACCACATAAAAACTGAGAGCACACTAGTGGCACTAAAAAAAATAAATAAAATTTATAAACTATCACCGACCCCAGGAAGAATAGTAGCTGTTTTTCAGTAGCTAATAGGGATCTAAATAAAAACAAACTAACTAACTAACCCTAACCTCTAAACCAGGACTAAAACAGGGCCAAACCATGTCTAAATTAGGACTAACCTTCTTTTGGACCAAACCAGGTTCAGTGCATCATTTAAGTAGCACAATGGTCTTAACTGTGTTTGTTTATTGACATAAATATTTTTTCTTTTGTCAGATCCAGAAGCTGATGGCTCATCCCTCTCCTGACACAGGCCTCCTCACTTTCTTTCAGTGGTCTTTAGAAAGTTCATTTTTACTGTAATTAAAAGTAATGAATAAGTGCTTTAATAAATCACAGCTGCTACTTTAACCGTTGGTCTTGTTTTGACTGTATGAGTTTGAAATGGATAATAATTGTTCCTTTCTGTTCTGGTATTGTATAGACTTGTTGTAAGTACTCCATAGTTCTTGGAGAAACCCCATGAGGCGGGAGCAAAGGGTGATGTCACTGGAGGGGAGGAGTGTGTGATGTAATTCTGTATAGGCCGAAAGGGAGGGGAAGGAGAGAGGGAGAGAAAAAGGAAGCAGTTCGATAGGATTTTGTGTTTATTTTTCCAAAGTTATTCAAACATTTTCAAAACTATGGCATGAATGGGATATCTTAGAGCGAAGGAGAGGTTTTAAGAAGCAGGCCAAACACGGCCGTGTGTACTGGTGTGCACAACTAATGACAACATCAAATATTAATACTTTTCAGGCCTGTAGCCTCGACTGACAACTGAGAGGTAAGCAAACGACTTTCCAACCTTTGAAATACAAAATACAGTTCATTTTTGCTCTTAATTTGTTATACTGTATTGATTTTAATGCATGATAATGACAGTTTTGCTTCTATTTTTATGGGCTATACTGTACTATTGGCTCAAAGTTCAGGAGCAGTGACTTTCACTACTACGTTTCACTGTATAGGAATTCCTTTCAATGCACTTAATTTGAGTTTATAATTAACTTTATAATTAACTTTGCCTCTCTTTGGTCTAGATCCTTGGCTGAACCCATATACAATGTCATCAGAATTGGACTCTAGTCTCACCAGCATAGACTGGTTGCCCCAACTGGGAATCAGTAGCCTGCGCTCGGGGAAGGAGAGAGGAGGAGGAGTTGGTGAAGTGAAGAAGAGAGAGAAAGGGCGGGAGGGGAGAGACTTCATACCTCCTGTACCCGATCCTACTCACTCAAACTCCAAAGGGAAACCTCCACATAGTTATGCCACACTTATTGCCATGGCGATTGCCGCAGCCCCCGAGAGGAAGCTGAGTCTGAACGACATCTACACCTGGATCAGTGACACTTTTCCATATTACAACCGAGCAGGACGTGGATGGAAAGTAAGTGTGCACAACACGTGGCTTAGTTTCGTTGATACATAGATCACATCAAAACTAGGAACTAACCTGGACTAGTCAAAACTAACCCAGGTCTAACCCAGGTCTAAACCAGGTCTAAACCAGGTCTAAACCAGGTCTACCATCAGTACTACACTGGGCTCTAACCAGGTTCCAGTGAGGACAAATGTTAATGATTTTTTTTGTTTTGTTTAATGATTACTTCACTACAGTCAATATGTACTCTTTCTAAAAGCATAGATATTTTATTGGTAGGGTAACATTTGTTTTCATGCTTCTTTTCAAAGACACACTTTTAGGCATGTGGTTTTGCTTCAGATTTTGCTTTGCAGACCAAACACTCATATTCTGAACATTAATAATGATCCCTTTTTATTATCAAATAGTGAAATAATTTAAATCAGAATTATACAACCATTTTTACTTAAATAAAAGTGAACTTATGATATAATTTGACACAAAAGCATACAGAAATTTCCAAAGTAATCCTAGGAATAAAGAACGTATCTTAAGGTGAGATGCAAGACATTTCAAGACAGTAAATTAAAATCACATTCAGCGTTTGTCGCTTCAAAATAATTGGTTTAATAAAACAATTCTGAAAATAACTTACTTACTTGGTTACTTGGATGATAGTTTCCTTTGGTTTACCTTTAGTGTTGTGTTCACAGAACTCCATCCGCCATAATCTGTCTCTTAACAAATGCTTCAGGAAAGTTCCTCGGCCACAGAACGACCCTGGAAAGGTACAAGAAAGATCCACAAAAATAAAGCAAATTTTGGAAATAATAGAAAAATAATCATAAATTGTGCCTTAAACAGGGCTCGTACTGGACCATGGATGGACCAGCAGAGATGTCACAGATGAGAGCTCCTAAACGACCTTATCCTGCAGCAGAAGAAGAGGAGGTCTGGTCACATGTTATCACACGTTAACGCAATACAATTTAAAAAAAACTAATTATGATTTTTGTGAAATTTCTTTACAATTAGATTTGCAATTTATGTACAAAAAGTCAGATTCTGTTCACAGTGCAGCCTCTGCGGTTTTATAATCGCACCTAAAATATTGTGCAGCCCAATTACACATTTTACACATTCATTACACAGTTACACATTGTTAATACAGAATGTAGTTACTTATTTTAAAACCATTTAATATGACCTGTTACAGACTGCAGATAACCAATCGGACCATGGACTGTCCCCAAGTCCTCATCAAACCTCATACATGGACCACCACCTTCCCAACACTCCACTGAGCGCAATTCAGCAACAGTCTCCCCGATCGGACACTCTGTCTCCTCCTCCATGCAAGGTAAGACTGAGTACCGTAGCCACATGCATTTATTTAAAGGTGCACTATGTCGCCTAATGTCGCCTTTCTGCTCCGGTTCATGGAGATGTTAGAGCTTTGCAGGGAATGTTCCACAGTATGGCATTTAACTTATCCAACAAGGATGTTCTTGCCCAAAGCCAATTCCCCCACATTGCCTATGAATTTGTTGTGTGAGTGACTGATGGTGGCCAGAGGGGCTGATGGTGCAGATTGACAACCTCACTTCCATCAGTCTGCCCCAGGGCAGCTGTGGCCACAATAGTTACCACCACCGAATATGGAGTAAATGAATTATACACTGTAAAGCATATTTTGAGTGTTCAAAAAAGCGCTATACAAATCAAATGGATTGTTATCTCCTTGGAGAAAGCAGGTGACACCATCAGACCAATGCATCAGTGCAATACTCGTACCAGATATCTGCACTTACAGTGAAAAGTTTGGTGGATCAGATATCAGCCGGTCTTGGTCTATAAATAGTCTCAAGATATTAAACTTGTATTTTTCCAAAGTTGTTCTGTGTAGTTACAAAACACATTTGGATCATTTTTGTACCTAATGGTGTTTATGTCTAAAGAAGATAAATATTATTATATTTTCAGTCTCTAACTTAGAATCAGTTGATATCACGCACTGGCTAAAGTATCGACATTGGTATTGGATGAGATGTTTTTCAAGAGATTTCTGAGCACCTGTAATTAAATAAATGCAAGATAGAACACATTTTATGTCATACTGTGGAACATTCCAGGTATGGCAGTAACATAAATCCCCTTTAAATCAAAATATATTAATGAAATATTTAAGACAACTCTTGCATAATATTACATAAAAGATTTCTATATTGTAAATTGTTTTTATTTTTATTTTTTTTTTTAGCAACCATCGCCCTACATGAGCAGTTCTATTTCAAACGTCACTGTCTCACATCCATCCGTCTCTACTGTGTCCAGTTTTTCTCAGATCCACCTTTCTTCTCCTGTAACTTCTTTTTCCCCTTCTCATCAAACTGCCCCAAACTTCTCCATGACTCCTCTTCAAAACTGTACTGTGGCTCCTGCTCTTTCTACCATCTCTTTTTCTGAACATTCAGTCCCTGTTTCCATCCCCTCTTTCTCTCAGACTGCACCCACCCACCCCGCTGCATCTGTGGCACCCCCTGTGGTGGTGTCTTCAGCTGCGGGGGGTTCATCTACAGTCAGTTTGAACCCCACTGATGTTCCATTGCGTTTTACCTTCGATGAGTTGAACCTCCCGGACTTATACGCATCTTTCAAATCGTTGGTCAAGACGATGAGAGACAGGGGGGGCTCACAATGTAAGTACTTTAATGTTTTATACATTTAATACACTACAGATTCCATTTCTGATTTTCTTTATTTGGGTTGGTCTTGGTTTAGTTTTTTTAAGGTCCTATATTACACACATTTGATTCTTGTGAGCTTTACACCTTGTTGTTACCTCATCAAAAACATATCTGGAGTTGTGTTTTGTTTCATTCACACATGTTGAAGTTATCTGCTATTATTAATCCGTTATAATTAGTCTGTCTACACTACACATGTCAAACTCAGGCCCAGGGGCCAAATTTTGGCCCGCAGTATAATTATCTTTGGCCCGCGAGATCATATCAAATATGTACCTGACCCGCTGGCTACAGAGACATTATTTATTTAACATTTTGTTATTTTTTTATATTATGCTTGTTCTGGATTCAATGTTTAAGCAAAACTATTATTAAACATTTATTTTAATAAGAAGGTTTAACATAACATATCTCGAAAGAAGAGAAAACAAGCAGATGTTGTTGACATTTTTCAATAAATATTTAGTTTTGCCCTCTACGGCCCAGTTTTTTAATTTTAGCCCTCTATGAATTTGAGTTTGACACCCCTGGTTTACACATTTTACCTTTTGTTCAGTTGAGATTAGCACATCCTGGAGTTGAAATTATCTAAATGGTTCTAGTGAAGGTGTATGGAATTAAAAAACACAGTGGAGCTCTTTCTGTAATACCACATGACATCACAAGGTGGAAGAGGGTGTTTTCCATTTGAGAGAGGAACTCAACACAAATGTTTGTGCATTAAACGTGTGAATAAAACATAGAAAATAGTGTAGTATGATATTAAAATATCACAATAATATCAGTATAGCAACAGATAACATAGTTATCTAATATTGCATCTTTTTCTCATATCGCGCAGCCCTAATTGTAATTATATTGATGTCACAATAGCTAATTTTTGTGAGATATTATGATTTCAACTTTTACAATTATTGACACCACATAAGTGAAATGATTACACTTTTCTTCTCCTACTGTCTAATACATACAACTTCAGAATCATAGTGCATCTTTAACTTTAGACTATGTAACTTTTTGGTGGAAGGTGTAGAAGTTACTCTGCTTTGAATGTGCCGCAGTTTGGCACTATACTTATCTGTTTAGCATTTTTGTTGTAAGTGCTTTAGGTGTTCAAATCATCATCAATGAAAATCATTCATAGTTACTTGCTTGTGACTTGGCCTGGTAGACCAGCCGTCTACAAGATAAACTTAATACCATTTTGTGAAACATTTTGTCAAAGCATTAATTAAATGAACACTTAAAGCCCCGCCATGTATGAATCAGCCAAAAACAGACTGAAATAAAGCCATTCAGTTCACTTTGGATGGACTGCAACAGCAATGGTAACTTGTGTCACTATCCCTCTCATCTAACAAACTCTTTACATTCTTTACATTTGCAGCAGATTTTGTGCCCCCGGGCAATGATACGACTCCGCTCCACACTCCGACCCTGCCCCTGTCTCCTCACCCTGTCCCACTGCAGACTGCTCCCACAGGGACCCGGGGCCCTGCGCAAACAGCGCCACCTTCTGAGGGCCGCACACAGTGTAGTAAGTTTAGCCTTATTTTGCAGATTACACACCAGTAGTAATCAAAATATCAAATCAAAATCACAAGTACCAAATTGCATAGGTTGCAGTTATATGGTTAGTAAAATGTAGTGCCACACAATGTACTGCAATCAAATCAAAACGACCACAAGTACCAAATGGCAGAGGTAGCAGTGATTTAGGTAATAAAGTCCTTTGTCCAAGTTTAGCAGTTTATAATTCAGTGAAATTCATGACTTTGTTTACAATGTGTACACTCTGAACAGAATCCTACTTTTAAAAGTTACTGTATATTGCATCTAATTGCATTTTTTTTTTTTTATAGAGAGATTATAAGAGAAACACACTAAAGTTTGACTAAGTCTCACTGTCCCATCTGTTCCAGCAGCAGTGCCCGCAGACTGGTTTAGTAACACTGATTCTCTGAAGGAGAGTTTTCGTATTGCCAGCAGCCTGGACTGGGCCAACATAGACCTCACCGGTCATCCAGGTTTGTCCAATTCAATGCACACTTTTTACATCATTAGATATTCTCAACTGTAAGTACAAAATGGATTGTGGCCTGAAATGTGTATTTTGTTTTTAGACTTGCTGGAGAGTATGCGGCAGGCGGAGCTTTGTGATTGGGCGCTGGACCCCACTCTCTTCACTTCTCTTTGTGACTCTTTAAACCGCTTCTTCACTCAAAAAGGAATGATCAACAGTGGGAGTAACTCTCCTCTGGCGCTGGGTTCAAATGCCTCTCAAGGGCCAACATTTCCCACTCATCCAACCCCCACCTTAGCCAGTCTCACCCACCCCTCTCCCCTCCCCTTCTCCCCTATGGCCCCCAACGGAGCTCAGCCACCCAGGAAGCCCGTGCACCTGCAGCCTCAGCAGAGACCCCAGTTCATAACTCCTGCAAACACAAATCGTACGTTCACATATTCTTGTTAATTTCAGACTGACTTTTGTTTAAGACATGCTTTTGCTTTGTATTACAGCTGGAGTCCAGCCTCAGCCTGTCGGCCCAAGGCCGCGGCCGCCTCTGAAGGGTCTCCATAGCAACAGTGAGGAGATCCAGGATGACTTTGACTGGGACTCACTGATTCTTTGACCCTCTGACCCTGTACTGCCTTTCTGTTCTTGCTCCTCAGCTTCTGAGTTCATGCTTGGGGTGGATGTTCTCAACTGAAGCTGCATTTCACGCTACTGCTGTAGCTACACTTCTTTTTTAAAGTAATTTTAAAGTTACTTCTTTAGCAAATTTGCTTTTGGAATTTGAGTTTGAATTTTTCATGTAAAGTTTTAATGTACACCAACATTACAAAGTACAAAAGCATTAAACCAGTCAAACATATCTTGTGTTTTTTATTTCATAAATTTCTTTTGATTTTTTTTTTTTTTCCATTTTACGTTTTTAAATGTGAATGTTCACAGTCAACACCACAAAAAATTCAACCTTACTCAATAAAAGATTTTCATGTTGATATAAAATAACAAATTTGTCTAAATTAAAAGATCAGCATGGAGCATGTTAAGTCCCTGTTTCTTTTTCTTCCATTCATTGAATAATCTGAAGGAGCTTCATTGGCTCTTCCTGTTACAGGAGATGAAACACAAGGACAGTGGAGACGCCTGAAGCCAGGGCCTAAATGAAATTAGACTAAACCGATGCTTTTGATTAAAGAAAATGGACGATTGGCAGAGAAATGTATGACCCTTATAATACCTCATAATAAATCTCATTTCAATACAAGTGACATTTAAAATAATGGATGTTTTCTCCTCCACTGCAGAAATCAGACACAAAATGAAGACAGATATTGATACATATACACAGAAACAGGCCTTAGCACAGAGCATACTTGCACACTAACAAATGAGCATTCTTTTTTCCATTCATTCAAAGCACACATTCAAAATCCTCAGTCATTTTGTCTTCAGAATCAGACCCGGGATTTCAGGGCTTTCTTTAGTTTATACAATAATCAGGACACAAAAGCATTTGATTTGAATGGCATCACTTGTTAGATTTTCTTCTTGTTCGTTTTTCCCAAAATGGAAAATAAATTACATTTAACATTAAATTAAAAGTGAATTTTATGAAACCATGTGACCATGTTATGCCTATAATGTGTTGAGTCCATAGTATCCGTCTGGCCTGCACTCGGATCAGTGCTCGTCTGTCTCCAGAGGAAGAGTAAGTGCAACAGTTTGTGTTCAGTTTGTTAGTGGCTTTGTCCTCTTCCTCATGTCCCTAAGTGCAGAAATAACGGACAGAATCTGCTGATATCCTTCGCTCTCACAGGCTTACCTTCATAGCGTACTGGACTGAAAAAACTAATTATACAGAAATTAAAACTAAATAAATATTATTTCTCAGTGAAAAATAACAAATAGTGAAATGAAAGGAACAAAATAAATTTGTCTTGAAATTAAATGCTTTTAAAGAAAACTGAAATGACAAAATGTTTCCATTGAAACATAAAGATGAAATTTTTTGGACACATTGTGAGATAGGGACACTAGGGGGCAGCAGGTGTGACAGAGAGGTTCAGGTGAAAGTGGTGACACATCCTCAAAGAAGAAAAGGATTGGTGCTGGCTCCTGCTGTTCCTCCGCCGCCCACAGCCCCTCCTCCGCCCATTACTCCCCCCGCTGCGGGCCCTCCCAAAATCAGCTGTGGCGCCGCTCCAGGGCCGAGCAGACCCGAGCCAGGGGGCGCCATCGGAGACAGGCTGCTGTAAGGCATCCCCAGAGGGCTGGCCTGCATCATGCCCAGCCCCATGCCCGGAGCACCCATTCCCATGGGCCCCATGCCCAGGCCAGGCTGCACCATGCCCAGCATGGGGTTAGGAGGCACAGGGCTGGTGCGGAGCGCGCTCAGGCCGATGGTGGAGGGCTGTGGGGAGATGGAGGTCATTGACGGGGCAACGCCAAAAGGGTTTGAGGAGGCAGGCGTAGGAGACACCCCCCGACTGGAAATGGTACTGCCCGGAGTAACGGCCATCCCAGGAGCCGGAGAGGAGCCTGGAAATGAAGAAGACACAAGAGTAAGGCTTAACTTTTTTATAAAGAATTTTTAAAGGTCAAGCTGTTATTTCACAAACTGCACCTGTGTTCTGGAGGAAGGGGTTGTGTGCTGAGGAGGAGGAGATGGAAGGAGGCGGCGGCTGCTTAGGTTTGGGTTTAGACGACACAAGTGAATCTAGATCCACCAGAGCAGCGTTGGGCCCCAAAAAGGACTCTGGAGTTTTCCGAACAGGAAGTGAAGATCCCAGAGACGAAAGGTCAAATGGCACTGGTGAACCTGTGCTGTCACAGGCAGCTGCTGAGGAGCCCCGCCGCTCAGGATCCCCTGAAGAATATACAGCTTTAAATATATTTAAAATATATGAATATAATAGAGTTAAATACACAAGGTTAAATGGAAAACTAATGAACTACAATACAAAGATCTAATGTGGAACATCTCTTCTTCATGAGTCTAGACCCTGGGAAGAGGAGCACTGGGTGGATGATCATGGAGCGTGTGGATATACCTGTGCCATTAGTGTGTTGGGCAGTGCCACTCCAGAGGTCAGAGGTCACAGGGTCAGAGGTAGGGACAGGCCCGTCTCTTGCCCAGGGGTCTACGGGCCCCCCGGAGGAGGAGGTGCTGGGTGGCACCGAGGGGCCCCATGGGTCAGCACTGGGGGTAGTCACAGCTACAGGGAGGGGGAGACGCAGGGGAGGGTTAACACAACACGTTACAGGTACAATGAATAAAAGGAGGAGTGACCAGGAGGCTTGGGTGGGTTCAACAGTGCTGCTCTCTGTTGTCTCTTAAGTCAGAATTATTCTGAATGAAAAACCTTAAGAGGCAAAAGAGAGGCCATAGAGAAGTTCACTGTCAGACACAAAGACCTGTTTGACCCACAGAGTCCTGGGCAGAAACAAGAGGTTCAAATGTTTGGGTTCAGACACACAAGGAAAGTGACCTGAGCATGCTTTTGTCAACACAAACTGAATGTTTGTGAATGGATGAACTGAATTACACATGTTGTGAAAATGAAACTACAGCGAAGATGATTTTAATGCCTTAATTCGCAGCAGGACAGACTTCTCCTCTTCCCCCAAACACACAGCCCCTGTCAAGCGAACTTACCTGAACCTCCCCACGGGTCCACATTGTTCACTCTGTTGGATGCCTCTCCCCATGGGTCAGGAGGGGGCGCTGCGGCGGGGGCTCCTCCGCCCCAAGGGTCTGTGTTTGTGGGGGAGGTGGGAGAGGCCACAGCCCATGGGTCTGGGGCAGGTGCACCCCAAGGGTTGGAGGCGGCCGGGGGGCAGAGTGATGGGGGAGGGGAGGGACCGGCAGAGCCCACAGGAGCAGCAGCAGCAGCTCCCCACGGGTCCACAGCACTCAGCTCCATCAGCGCACTCTGCACATGAGAACACAGAAGAGGCTCATTTAAGGATATGATGTTTTGTGAGTGATTCTGGTTTCTGCCATGGGACACGTACATCTTCACTCTTGGGCTTTTCCCTCTTGCTCTCTTCAATGGCCATCTGCAGTCTCAGGTCATCTCCTCTGCGCAGACGCTCCTCCTGCCAATCACACGCACCATAAACAAGAACGACCTAACAGGAAACATGTTTCAAGGAATTTCAATCAGAGGATAAACTGTGAACACATCTAATGATCAGTGATAAATTGTATAGAGCAAAGAAAATCTCTTTCATTTTAGTTATGACTAAACCTGGTAATACAACAGACGGAAATACAAACACTGAGTTAGATTCAAACTAAAACTAATACTGCTCGGTCACACACACTGGAATAACACGTCATTTAACACACAGACAAAGAGGAAAAGACAATGAATCATTCAGTTTGACTTAAAACATGCCACTTAAGAGGACACAGAGGGTAAAATACCATTGTGGTTCATTGTAAATATTTGTCATGCAGACTTTGAACTTGTGATTGATTGATTAATGAGAAGAAAATGTTTTTGTTTCCGGGATTCACTTTTGTAACAGTAAATTTGATCTTGATGAAAAAAGACATGACAAATACGGGCTTCTTGATTGTTTTAGAGCTCAAATTGAAGAGACAGGCCTTGGGCACCCCGTCTGCCCCTGACCTGTTGGTGCATCTCTTCGCTGAGGGACATTGCATATCGGAGCTCTGCGTCCTCCAGAGGGTCCGCGCTTGTCTGAGGGAGTTCAGGGTTAAATAACATTAGGTGAAGATAGACTTTTATAAACCCTTCTGGTTTTTGCACATTGAATGCCTTCATTTTAAAGTCTGGTTGAAAGAGGAGCAGGAAGTGAAGATATTCGTTTTTAACCATTTAAACCATTTGCCTGCACCGTCTACAAACATCAAAATTCTTGTTATTATTTTGCAGCCTATTAAATCTAATGAGAGGGTGTTTGTATCAGTATCAGGCAGAGCACAGCAATTTTTAACACTTTTTGGAAAGGTCTGCGCTGGCCTGGACTGTTTTTATTCCCATCTTTTCCACAGAACCTTTGTTGTCACCAAGGCAATTTTACCTCCTCCTCTACTGCCTGTGATGCTGCAAGGTTCCCATTTTAGGTCCCATTTTTTTCTTTATTTATGTTTTTATACGCTCAAATAACATGTATTTCCATTGTTATGCTGGCAACACACAAATATACCTCCTACTGAGACCAAACAGCCCTGGACGTCTGCTGCGTTGGAGAGATTCAATGATGTGAACAGCTGGAGTTCCAAATCTGAAATAATCCTAATTACCCCCCCGAAATCAATCACCCATTTTTTTAAAAGTCCCTCTGCCATCTTTACTCAAATTTCACCACCACCATAACTAGAAACCTCAATGTCACTTTCAAACATGTGAACAGTGTTTGCTTCTCTTGTGAAGCATCAAAATGGCCCAAACATCATTTAAATTCTTATCCCTGTTTATAGTCTTCTCAGTAATCGTCTTTGTTTACCTGCTCTGCTTCTTCTTTACTCATGGCCAAAGCCAACTGCAGCTGTAGGTCCTCCTCCCCAGAGCTTTGGGGCCAGGCCTGTTCTGGATCTGCCCCTCCAGAGTGGGACCCCAACGACAGACTGCCTCCTACACCGGGCGCTGATGGAGCTGAAGAGGCTGGAGCACAAAGAAAGGAAAGTTAACATGACCAAGTTCACTTATGTTATCTTAAAAATGTTGTTACTTTGCTGTGTTTAATACATTCAGTAGAGACCATGGCTCCTAATTTGAATTGATTATTTGAATTTCAGACAAATTATAGGAAGACATTCACAGTTCTAATGCATGTTTTCAAAGTATTTGTTTAGCAATTTAAAAACCTATTATTGAATAATGCAAATTCAAT